TGCTGACTCTGTGTCCCCAGGTTTACAGAGCAATCTTTCTGAAGCACAAATTAGATTACATTATTCTACAGCTTAAATCCTTCTGTGCACGTCCCATCACCCAAGAGGAGATCTAAAACTCCTTAGAGTGGCATTCAAGACCTTGCTCAGTGCAGGTGCCATGCATTGTTTCAACTTTATTTCCAGCCTTCCGATGTACATAGATACATCTTCCTCCCACACCCTCTGCAGGCTTTTCAGTGCCATGTGCTTTTCTCCTTTGGGGATCTTGGAATAGGATGCCCCTCCTCCCGTGTCTGTTTATAGATAGAAACATCCTGTGCATTGGGGGGTCTGCCCTGAGCACCATTTTCCCAGCATGCTGAATTATTTCTGTTCCTCTGTGTTTGCACAGCTTTGTTTGTGCACAGTAGAGTTTTGTCAGAGCCGTGTAGACCGGCCTCCTTCATGAGTCTGCCAGCTTTTCGAGGCCAATGTCTGTCTGATTCATCATCGGATTCTCAGTGCCTAGCAGAGTGCATAGCACAGGGTGGCTATGTGAGCAAAAATACAATTCAAAGAAACAGTCTCATTAACAGATGCAGACCAACTCCTCTCATGACAGCAGAGAATCTAAGCTCCAACAAATGATCAGAGTTGCCCGTTGAAGTGCTATATATAGACGGAACTTAATCAATTTCTGCCTTTGCCTTAAGCCATTGATGATAGTGATGTGTTTTTGTAAATGTAGATAACCACAAGCAGATGTTTCAAAGCTCTTTTGTCCAGAATAAACTGAGTTTCGTCATCATCTTGATAGCACTTTCCTGGATTAGTGTTCAGGAAACATGAAAACTTTTTAGAACAATTCAACAAATGTGTAGTAAGTTTGTTATTTGTTGTTATATTGTCTCTTGGCTTGGGTTTTTATTTGGGAAGCTAATAGACAGATGGGATATTAGAAAACCAGAGGCAAACTGCTGGGGTTATTGAAGCACTAACTGAATGAATGCAGGTATATGAGTAATCCAGGAACCCTATGCATTAAGCAAAAATTCATTTCTGTCTCCTCCGTATTGTTGTTACCTTGTGAACCTGCCTTGTGTTTCTCAGCAGTTGGTAAACTGATAAGCCTGTTTCTCACTGTCATTTACCTCATCAGTTTACCAGCCCAGAAATCCTCCTTTCAGTCTTTTTTTTTTTTTTTGAGACGGAGTTTCGCTCTTGTTACCCAGGCTGGAGTGCAATGGTGCGATCTCGGCTCACCGCAACCTCTGCCTCCTGGGTTCAGGCAATTCTCCTGCCTCAGCCTCCCGAGTAGCTGGGATTACAGGCATGCGCCACCATGCCCAGCTAATTTTTTGTATTTTTAGTAGAGACGGGGTTTCACCATGTTGACCAGGATGGTCTTGATCTCTTGACCTTGTGATCCACCTGCCTTGGCCTCCCAAAGTGCTGGGATTACAGGTTTGAGCCACCGCGCCTAGCCCTCCTTTCAGTCTTTACAAAAAAAAAAAAAAAATGCAGATGCACTCCCAGACAGAAAAGTTAATTTTCTTCTTCTTTTTTTTTTTTTTGAGACAGATCTTTGCTCTTGTCACCCAGGCTGGAGTTTAATGGCGCCACCTCACTACAACCTCTACCTCCCAGGTTCAAGCGATCTTCTGGAGCAGCTGGGATTATAGGCACCCACCACCATGCTGGGCTAATTTTTGTATTTTTAGTAGAGACGGTTTCGCCATGTTGGCCAGGCTGGTCTCGAACTTCTGACCTCAGATGATCCACCACCTTTGGCCTCCCAAAGTGCTGGGATTACAGGTATGAGCCACCGTGCCTGGCCAAATTTTGTTCTTGAGGCTGATAATCAAACTATTTTTTTTGTTTGTTTTTAGAAAATATTTTTGTTCCCTTTTTTAAAAAGCAAGTTGGTTCTAGTAATATCTAAACTTCATTAAATTATCAGGGAAGAAGAATTTCCTTTCCTAAATGAGAATTCAGAGATAATATGCTTGCTGCTCCATAGAAGGTGGCTGTTCTTTAACTTGCACCAACTTTCCTCATTTGTACCATGCCCCCAGTGCACATACACACACCACACCTTACCATGAACATTAACGAGGGAATAGTGGCCTGCGTTTTATTTTGTGGGAATGATGTCATTCAAATGAGTTATCAAATATGCAAATCTATTTTAGATTCCTGGTGCACAAATCCATAACATTTTCTCCTAGGTTGATAATATAGTCATCAAGTTCTTTTTTTTGAAAGAGGAAAAAAGAAGAAAGAAAAAGAGAAAGAAAGAATGAAAGAGAGAGAAAAAAAAGAGGGAGAGAGAACGGGAATCTTGCTCTATTGCCCAGGCTAGAATGCAGTCTAAAAATGGGTATTAAAAACCTCTTTTATGCCAATAAATGTGCTTAACAATGGAGACAATAAGGGAGGAAAATAACAAACAAGCAGCCAACCGATATTTCATTTAAACCTGTGAAATGCTATGCAATTGCAGAGGAGTGATTTACTTCCAATTTTGTGTTCACTTTTAGAATAGGTGTGATGTGATACTGAGAAAAATGTATATTTTGTGGATTTGAGGTGGAGAGTTCTGTAAATGTTTATTAAGTTTACTTATTCCAGGTCTGAGTCCAAGTCCTGGATATCCTTGTTAATTCTGTGTCTCGTTGATCTGTCTAATATTGACAATGTAGTGTTAAAGTCTCCCACTATTATTATGTGGAGTTACCATTATGTAATGTCCTTCTTTGTCTCTTTTGGTCTTTGTTGTTTTAAAGTCTATTTTATCAGAGACGAGAATTGCAACTCCTGCTTTTCTTTTTTTCCTCTTTATTTGGTTGGTAAATCTTCTTCCGTCCCTTTGTTTTGAGTCTTTGTGTATCCTTGCATGTGAGATGGGTCTGGATGCTGCATACCAATGGGTTTTGGCTTTTTATCCAATTTGCCTGTCTGTGTCTTTTGACTGGGGCATTTAGTCCATTTAAATTTTGGATTGATATTGATGTATATGAGTTTAATACTGCCATTTGATCCTAGCTGACTGTTTTGCTGATTAGTTGATGTAAATTCTTCATTCTGGTGATGCTCTTTACCTTTTGGTGTGTTTTTGGAATGGCTGATACTAGTTGTTCCTTTCTATGTGTAATGCTTCTTTCAGAAGCTCTTGTAAAGCAGGCCTGGTGGTGATAAAATCTCTGAGTACTTGCTTGTTTGCAAAAAATTTTATTTTTCCTTCACTTATGAAGCTTAATTTGGCTGGATACGAAATTCTGGGTTGAAAGTTCTTTTCTTTAAGGATGTTGAATATTGGCCCCCACTCTATTCTGGCTTGTAGGGTTTCTGCTGAGAGATCTGCTGTGAGTCTGATAGGCTTCCCTTTGTGGGTAACCTGACCTTTTTCTCTGGCTGCCCTTAGTATTTTCTCCTTCATTTCAACCCTGGTGAATCTAACGATTATGTGCCTTGGGGTTGCTCTTCTTGAGGAATATCTTTGTGGTGTTCTCTGTATTACCTGGAGTTGAGTATTGTCCTGCTTTGCTAGGTTGGGAAAGTTTTCCTGGATAATATCCTGAAGAATATTTTCCAGCTTGGATTCATTCTCTTCGTGATATTCAGGTACACCTATCAAACGTAGATTAGGTCTTTTCACATAGTCCCATATTTCATGGAGACTTTGCTCATTCCTTTTTATCCTTTTTTCTTTATTCTTGTCTTCTCGTTTTAATTTCATTAAGTTGGTCTTCGACCTCTGATATCCTTTCTTCTGCTTGATCAATTCGGCTGTTAAAACTAGTGTATACTTTGCGAAGTTCTCGTATTGTGTTTTTCAGCTCTGTTAATTCACTTATATTCTTATTCTTGTTAGCATTTCATCAAACCTTTTTTCAAGGTTCTTAGTTTCTTTGCATTGGGTTAGAACATGTTCTTTTAGCTCACAGACGTTTCTTATTATCTACCTTCTGAAGCCTGATTCTGTCAATTCATCACACTCATTCTCCATCAGGCCTTGTTCTGTTGCTGATGAGGAGCTACGATCAAGTTCTTGGGTGCTGCATTTTGTACTGTCAACTCTTGCAGCATGAGAGAACCATAAGCCACTTGGGGGCACAGATACTTACTTAATGAAAAAAACAAAAGAAGTCATTGCCAAGGGAAAGTAATTTGATCACAAAAAAATAAGAGAAAATACTGAAGGCAGTTAGTCTATTCCAACAGTACGAATCCAGAAAGTAGTCCTGTATGGAGCAGAGAGATGACCATGCCCTACAGACATCTAATGTACCATACAGACTCAGTAAAACCCTGGCCAGGGGCCTGTTAGCTGGTACTTCGGCACAGGCTGCAGCCTGAGAGACAAAGGGGGCCGGAGGTGGACAAGCAGAATGGGCAGTGATTGGCAAGAGAATTCAACTGTAAGCTTTCCAGGGCAGAGTCCACATTTGGTTGACTTTCTGTTGTGTGCTGGGTGCCTAACACTCTGCTGTAGATATGAACTCAATAATATTTGTTTAATGAATGGCTGGCTGGATGAGTTGAGAGATTCTAGAAGGAATCTAACAGGGAATGGATGGACAGACTGGAAGGTTTAAAGCAGTGATAACTTACTGATGAAGGGAGTTAGCATGAGGCATCACTATGGAGGCATTGCATGTATTGAAAGATCTCTGATTGGCTGGAATGTTTGCATAAGAGATAAGAATTCATAAGGAAATTCCTATGTTACATAGTCTAGTAGCAATTTTGCCAGATGAGATATTTTGTTATATTATATATAAAATACTTTATTTGTATTTTGAATAAGTAATTAAACTACACAGAAGTTCAACTGACATGGAAGCTTAAATTACAAATTTTATGGTACCATCCTGAACAATAATGTTGCTTTGAGCAAAAGAAATTCTGAAATGCTGTTTGAGTCCTCAAACAGAATTCAATTATGATAAAAATATCTTAGTGTTCCTAATTCTTTATTCTGTCTAATTCTTTGAAATTAGGATAATTACATCTAATAATTTGGATATACAAGTATTAGCTTAGACAGCTCGCTTGCTGCATTTCTCCCTGGCTCTGGGCAGACAGGATTTTATAATGCAGAATCAGTCTAACCAGCCATTTCCAGATGGACTTGGGGGTGGCTGCTGCTTCGTTGAGAAAGACAATCTTATCAGATCTTTTCTTTATCTTCCTGGGCTCAGAAATTCACTTTCATTAGGTCAGCCAGGGATGAACGAACCCTACAGATTTGATCCACTGGGGATTGATGAAGACCAGGATAATAGTTAATTATTCTGAGAAACTGTTATTTCCAAATAGTTAGAATAGTTTATTGGTGGGTAACTATTATTCTGCCAGGAAAATCTGCCAGGAACCTATATTAAGGTGACAAGATAGTTTGGAGGGAGCCTGATGGCCTTAATCCTACAGTACTGTTTCCAGTTTGGAAAGTCAACCCAAGAAACATTTATTGAGGGTCTGCTGCATGTGAAGGAGAGGAAGCTGGCCGTTATTGAACCCCTCCTGTGTGGTAAGCACTGTTTAGTTCTTTAACACTTTGGTTTTTTACATGCTTGTTGCATTTAATCTCATTTAATGGGTAAATCACTGTGGAGAGTACAGGGCTGAAAGAAGCAGCCTCTAGTGCTAGGGACGTTCTAGACCTGTACTGTCCAGTATGATGTCCCCTAGCCACATGTGGTTATTTGAGAATTGAAATGTGGCCTCTCCAAGTTGAAATGTGTTCTAGGTTGTGCAGTAGTGCTAGCGGCTTCGCGTTTCGGTCCTCTGACCCGAAGCCGCTTTTGGTGCTAAGCTGCTAGGAAGCCCCTCTCGGCGAGCTTGTTGGAGCTTGAACCCATTGTCACCCCTCCAACTCACCAGCAAAAAAAAAAAAAAAAAAAATGGTTGAAGCAGATCGCCCAGGAAAGCTCTTTATTGGTGGGCTTAATACAGAAACAAATGAGAAAGCTCTTGAAGCATTATTTGGCAAATATGGATGAATAGTGGAAGTACTCTTGAGGAAAGACTGTGAAACCAACAAATCAAGAGAATTTGCTTTTGTCACCTTTGAAAGCCCAGCAGATGCTAAGGATGCAGCCAGAGACATGAATGGAAAGTCATTAGATGGAAAAGCCGTCAAAGTGGAACAAGCCACCAAACCATCATTTGAAAGTGGTAGACGTGGGCCACCTCCACCTCCAAGAAGTAGAGGCCCTCCAAGAGGTCTTAGAGGTGGAAGAGGAGGAAGTGGAGGAACCAGGGGACCTCCCTCACGGGGAGGACACATGGATGACGGTGGATATTCCATGAATTTTAACATGAGTTCTTCCAGGGGCCACTCCCAGTAAAAAGAGGACTGCCACCAAGAAGTGGGGGTCCTCCTCCAAAGAGATCTGCACCTTCAGGACCAGTTCTCAGCAGCAGTGGAATGGGAGGAAGAGCTCCTGTATCACGTGGAAGAGATAGTTACGGAGGTCCACCTTGAAGGGAACCGCTGCCTTCTTGTAGAGATGTTTATTTGTCCCCAGGAGATGATGGGTATTCTACTAAAGACAGCTATTCCAGCAGAGATTACCCAAGTTCTCGTGATACACGAGATTATGCACCACCACCACGAGATTATACTTACCTTGACTATGGTCATTCCAGTTCACCTGATGGCTGTCCACCAAGAGGCTATAGCGATAGAGATGGATATGGTCGTGATCGTGGCTATTCAGATCATCCAAGTGGACGTTCCTACAGAGATTCATATGAGAGTTATGGGAACTCACTAGTGCTCCACCTACACGAGGGTCCCCACCATCTTATGGTAGAAGCAGTGGCTGTGATGATTACAGCAGCTCACGTGACGGATATAGTGGAAGTCAAGACGGTCACTCAAGCAGCCGAAGTGATCTCTACTCAAGTGGTCGTGATTGGGTTGCAGACAAGAAAGAGGGCTTCCCCCTTCCCATAGAATTCCCATAGAATCAGTACCCTCCTCCACATGATTCCTACAGCAGTTCAAGCCGCGGAGCACCAAGAGGTGGTGGCCGTGGAGGAAGCCGATCTGATAGAGGGGGAGGCAGAAGCAGATACTAGAAACAAACAGAACTTTGGACCAAAATCCCAGTTCAAAGAAAGAAACAAAAAGTGGAAACTATTCTGTTATAACTACCCAAGGACTACTAAAAAGAAAAATTGTGTTACCTTTTTAAAATTCCCTGTTAAGTTCCCCTCCATAATTTTTATGTTCTTGTGAGGAAAAAAGTAAAACATGTTTAATATTAAAAAAAAAAAAGAAATGTGTTCTAAGTGTAAAATAGACACTGGATTTCCTAGTACACAAGAAATGTAAAATATCTCATTAATAATTTTTGTATGGCTCACATTTTAACATTACACAGTATTTTGGATAAATTAGGTTAAAGAAACTGTCATTAAATTATTTTCACCTATTGTGCTTTTGGCGTGGCTACTAGAACATTTAAAATTGTATATGTGGCTCATATTTGTAATTCATACTGTATTCTCTTGGAACAGGGAACAGAATAGAGGTAAGATATGCATTGCTGAGGTCGGGGCTCCCTTCCAACCTTATGACAAGCATTTAAATTGGGGTAAACATTTCGAAGGATACTTTGGCAGTGTCCCACAGCGATAAAATCTGAATCTTCCCAGCAGTTACTATAGTATTCCTGTAGTACTGTATCTGTACTTCAGACACAGAATGCTGAGTTTAACATAGGTACACCTAACATTGTATTCAACTTTTCCTTATGATTCCCTCTAAAATAGATATTCATATGTCATTAGCTGCTAATTGACTATAATATGCTGGGCACTATGTGAGGTGTCCACCACAGTGGTAGGTAAATATGGAGATCCAGATTCAAATATTAGATGATTCTCTCTCAGGTGGAAGGTTCTAGAGCTATTCACTATCTATAAGTAGCTATGATACCAGATACAAAGTGACAGATGCCTTATGTATGGCAGGTAAAGAGCTTTGGTGGTTCGAGAGTGTGGTCACTGTCTGGCTTGGAGCCTGTTGAGCTGGAGCCTGAAGGACAATAGGACGTCCTTGGGCAAGATTGAGCAGGTTGCAGTGGTGGTGATCCAAGGCAGGGAACAGCAAGAGAAAGGCTCGGAGGTGAGACATTCTTTGGGAAGAATGGGACTAATTCATTTTCCTGGGACATGGCACATGTGCAGGGGAATGATAAGAGACTGGACTTGAAAAGTGGACGGCCAGGCTAGAGAATGTGGACATTTTTCCTGAGTACTTAAATGTCATTCAAATGGTTTCTTAAATACACAATTAGCGGTCCCTCTAAAATTATGAATGCCTGAAAGTGTGGTACTGTCTTTTTTTTTTTCCTTTCTGAGAGTGAGCTTAGTTAGTGCTTACATGTTTTTAAAATAAATTCTGTTGAAATAATTACTTTGAGTCTAGTTTCTTCAGATCCTCCAAATGTGGTATTTGTTTTAGAACAAGTAGCAACATGTTCTTTTTAGGAATGCGACTGTAAGACACAAAGAGATGTGCTGAGACAGGAGGATCCATTTTTCTCTGACAGCCAATTTGAAGAAGTGTTTAAAAAAGTATGCCAGCTCTTTATGTCTTATATTTTCCATTCTATGAAAGAAAAACACTTTCATAGAAATTGCTTTTAAGAATATGAAGTCAAATAATACCAGCGGGTCTTGAAAAGACCAAATGGGTACACATTGTCCCAACACAGAGAGTATAGATCAAGAGTCCTGAAAGTGCTGGAGAGGGTTCCAGTTTAGAGGATGGGCGGGGCACAGTGGCCCTAGCCCATCAAGCCCATTATCCCAGCACTTGGTAGCCTGAGGCAGGCAGATCACTTGAGCCAGGACTTTGAGACTAGCCTGCGCAACATAGGGAGACTCCATCTCTACAAAAACATTAATACAGAAACTAGCAGAGTGTGACGGTGCATGCCTGTAGTCCCAGCTACCCGGGAGGCTGAGGTGGGAGAATCACTAGAGCCCAAGAGGCAGAGGTTGTAGTGAACCATGAATGTACCACTGCACTCCAGCCTGGGTGACAGAGCGAGACCCTGTCTCAATAAATAAACGAGCAAGCAAGCAAACAAACCCTGTTTCAATCAATAAAATAAAAACAGGAGTCAGACATTTGGATTTAAATATCAGCTCTAACATCTGCTAACTTTTCTGCTCTGTCTTCTAATATCCTGAGATCCACAATTTTATGTCCACTCCTCTGACTCTGCCACCTTTTTGCTTTCCATCAATGCCCTGTGTTCCTCTTTACCCCCCTTATCACTTGGTCCACTGTTGTGGTAACTCCACTTGCCTCCCTCCTCTTTCTATCCTACTCTCCTGGTTAAAGTCAGGGTTATTCAGGCATAGCTCTGCACTTTCTTCCAAACAACGGAGCACATCTGGAAAACACACACACCACTCTGATGACATTAAATTAATCACCCTACCGTCCATCCCTGCCTCAACTGACACTCAGCCCTCTCTGGCAACCCTACTGCATTTCCTAGTAAATAGGAGATAGTTTCCTAGAAACTAAAAGCAGTTTCCCAGCTCCCATATCCTCTTGCATCCATCCATCATCTGTCCCCCATCCCTTTCTCTTTATCATGGACAAACGTGCGTCCTCCTGGTTGAGGTCCATTGCACCCCAGTGTATCCGGTCTGTTGCTCTCGCCTGTTCAGAACTCTGCTTCCACAGTATCTGCCCACTAGCTTCATTAAAATTCCTCTTTTTACAGGATCATTCTTATTCAGACATTCTATAATGTCTTCCTTCTTTGCAAATACCTCCTCTTAATTCTTTATCTCCCTCCAGATTTGCCTCATCTTTGTTCCTCTTCAAAGCAAAACTCTGATAAGTTGTCTGTTCTCGCTGTCTCCAGTTCCGTACCCCACACTCTCTTCTGACAATATCTTATAAACATTTCAAACATGCAGGAAAGTTGAAAGAATTTTAAGGTGAACACTTGTGAACCACCACCTAGACTCTACAATCCATAGTTTGCTTTATTGCTTGAATATACATCTCGTCACCCATCTATTGCTTTATCCTGTTGTCCCATTCAATTTATGTTTTAGATACATTTTAAAGTAAGTTGCAGGCATCAGGACACTCACTCCTAAACATTTCAGTGTACATATGGTTCATTTGCTTCCCTATTTGTTTCTAGTTCTCTTTCGAAGTAAAATTTTTAAACACTGAAATGCTCCAGTCTTTTTTTTTTTTTTTTTTTTGAGACGGAGTTTCACTCTTGTTACCCAGGCTGGAGTGCAATGGCGAGATCTCGGCTCACCTCAACCTCCACCTCCTGAGTTCAGGCAATTCTCCTGCTTCAGCCTCCTGAGTAGCTGGGATTACAGGCACGCGCCACAGTGCCCAGCTAATTTTTTGTATTTTTAGTAGAGACGGGGTTTCACCATGTTGACCAGGATGGTCTCGGTCTGTTGACCTCGGGATCCACCTGCCTCGGCCTCCCAAAGTGCTGGGATTACAGGTGTGAGCCACCGCGCCCGGCCCGAAATGCTCCAATCTTTAGTGTACCATTTAGAGTTTTGGAAAATGCAAGTACCACCTCTGCAATCCAAACCCTTTTCAAGGTACAGAACACAATCGTTGCCACATAAAGTTTCCTCATGTTCCTTCCCAATTCGCCTCCAGACCATCCTCTTATACTCTGCCAGAGGCAACCACTGTTTTGATGTGTTCCCCACCATATGTTATTTTTGCCTTTCTAGAAGATTATCAAAATGGAATCATACAGTATATGTATTCTTTCACGTAAGGCATTTTTCACTCAGTGTAATGTTTCTGAGATGTTTTCATACTATGTGTATCAGTAATTCATTCCTTTCTGAGCTGCTAAGTATCATTTTATTGTTTGATTATACAACAGGTTATTTATTCATTTTTTTATGGGTGGTTGCCTGAGTGGCTTCCAGGTTTTGACTATCATGAATGCCCCTTTTTGTGGCTGTGTTTTCTTTTCTCTTGGATAAATTCTTCGGAATGAAATGGTTGGGCCATAGGATAGCTGTATATTTAGTTTTATAAACAATGGCTAGAATTTTTTCTAAGCTCATTGCAGTTTCACACTTTGACCCTTGGTGAACGTAGTTTTACACGCTGACCCATGATGAATGAGAGTTGTGCTCTCTCTGCATCCGTGCCAGCATTTGGGTTTGATGGTCTTTTTAACGTTACTTGTTCTGGTGGAGACGTAGCAGTACCTCGTTGTGTGTTTCTTAAATTTCCTTGATGAATATTAACATTGAGCACTTTTTCATGTGTTTATTGATCACTAGTCTGTCTTCCTTTGTTGGTGTCCAGTAAACCTTTTGTTCACTTTTATCGAATTGTAGGCATTCATGATGTATTTGAAAATATTAGTTCTTTGTCAGATATATGATTTGCACATTTTTACTTCCAGGCTGTGGCTTTTTTAAACGGTGCCTTTAAATGGGTAGAAATTTTAAAAGTTGCCTATTGTTTCCTTTTATGTTGATTGCTTTCTGAGCCATAAGCTTTATAATTTTAGTTTTTACATTTATGTCTATGATCCATCTCAGTTTTTGAGTGTGGTGTGAGGTCAGAATTGAGACTTATTTATTTTTGCTATGTAGGGATTTAGTTATTTTAGCATCATTTGTTAATAAGTCATTTTTTTCTCTGTTGGATTTTTCTCTCACCTTCATGAATATTGAATGAGGATATAAGTGTGAGTCTATTTCTGAGCTCTCTTTTATGTCTCATTGATCTGTTTGTTGATACTGTCCTGGTACCGCATTATCCTGATTACTGTAGACTTAGTATGATGTTTTGAAGTCAGGTAGTGTGAAGTCCTCCAACTTTGGTTTTATTTTTTATGATTGCTCTGGATAGTCTAAATACTTTAAATTTCTATACACATTTTAGAATGAGATTATCAATTTGTACAAAAAAGTTGGATGAGATTATAACTGGGATGGTGTTGCATCTATAGATCAGTTTCTGGATAATAGAAAACTTAAAAATATTGGTATTTTAATCCATGAACATGGTATATCCACTTAGTTAGGTCTTTAATTTCTCTCAGCAATCTCTTGTCACATTCTCATTTGAGCCCACTTTTTAGGCTTTTGCATAAAATTCCCCTGAGCCCGCTCTTGAGGATACCAGTGACTTCCATGTTTCTACATCCCGTGGTCAGTTCTCAGACTTACCAAACCCCAGTCCTGAATCTCAGACTTATGTATCCAAGCCTCAGACTTACATGTCCAACTTCCTACTGCTCTTCATTTGGGTATCTAAACGTTCTCTCAAACTTAACCCACCCAAAATGGCACTCTTGATTTGGCCCTAAAACGTACTGTTTCTCCTCAGACCCCAGCACCCACAGTGTTCCCCAGCTGAATAATTAGACTGTCCTCCCTGCTACTCATTTGAGTCCTAGAGTGTTCTTGGCATCTCTCTTTCTTTCACACTCTGCCTCACAACCCACATCAGAAAATCTGCTTGGCCCTGTCTTCACAGTAGATCCTGGATCTGACTACTTCTCTTCATCTCCCACCTGGACTACTACAGTGTTCTCCTAAGTAGTTTGCCTTCTCTCAGTCTATTCTAGTCTTTTTTTATGTTTATTTTTCATTGAGACACAGTCTCTCTCTGTTGCCCAGGCGGGAGTGCAGTGGCACAATCTCGACTCACTGTAACCTCTGCCTCCCAGTTAAATCAATTCTCCTGCCTCAGCCTCTTGAGTAGCTGGGATTATAGGTGCCCACCAGCATGCCCGGATAATTTTTGTATTACAAGTCGAGAGGGGGGTTTCATCATGTTGCCCAGTCTGGTCTTGAACTTCTGACCTCAAGTGATCCACCTGCCTCAGCCTCCCAAAGTGTTGGGATTACAGGCATGAGCCACCGTGCCCAGCCCCTCTCAGCCTATTCTTTACCTACCGAACTTGAGTAATCTTTTCAAATGGCACAGGGTTTCAATGCCTTGATTAAATCCTTTCAGGGCCTTTTCATTATATTTAAAGAAAAAACCAAATGAAACTATGCAATGGTTTACAAAGCTGTACACGATCAGACCTCCCAGTTTCTTCTCTCACTACATCCTCTGCTGTCGCCCTTTCTTTCACAGCGCTGACTATACAGGCCTTTTTGTTGCTCTAGAATACACCAAGTCTATAGCCTTTGCAGTTTCTGTTTCTTCTGCCTGGAACCTTTTCCCAAGTGGTTCCATAGCCTGTCCCCTCTCTTTGTTCAGGTCTCTGCTCAAGTGTCATCTCCCCAGAGTGGCCTCTTCTGACCACCTTATCTAAGGAGTGTGCCATCTCCCCACTTATCCCATCTCCCTCCAGTCCCTTGCTCTGCTTTGGTTTTCTTTTTCTTTTTTTTTTTTTTTGAGACGGAGTTTCGCTCTTGTTACCCAGGCTGGAGTGCAATGGTGCGATCTCGGCTCACCGCAACGTCCGCCTCCTGGGTTCAGGTAATTCTCCTGCCTCAGCCTCCTGAGTAGCTGGGATTACAGGCACGTGCCACCATGCCCAGCCAATTTTTTGTATTTTCAGTAGGGACAGGGTTTCACCTTGTTGACCAGGATGGTCTCAATCTCTTGACCTCGTGATCCACCCGCCTCGGCCTCCCAAAGTGCTGGGATTACAGGCTTGAGCCACCGCGCCCAGCCCTCTGCTTTGGTTTTCTTAATAGCACTTAGTATTATCTGGCTTTATATATATTTGTTTTAATTTTTGATAGTCTGTCTTTCCTAATAGAATATAAACTCCCCAAAGATAGAAGTCTTCTGCTTTCATCATTAATGCTGATAGCAATGCCTGCCACGTAGTAGGTGCTAAGTACATGTGAAATGCCTGACCTTGGGAAATTTAAACTTTTTGGTTCCATCTTCATCACCTGAAAAATGGGGAAAATAATGGTATCTAACTCACATGGCAGGTGTGAATGTCAAGTGAGATATTGGTTCTAGGAAGATATTATGGCAGTAGTGTTGGCTGTTGCTTGGTAATGATCATTAAGTAACATAAATGATTTAAATATAAGCAACAAATGCATATATGAATGCAACGTAAGGTAGCATTTTTGTTATGTGCTTTTTACAATGGTCGATTTCAGAGGTATAACTCGTAATATGTAGTTACTGATAACTAAGTGGGAGAAAGTAGATATAAGTACACAGAAAGTTAAATGCCATCACTATTTAAATAACCCATCCACATAAATTAGAAAGTCGCAAGGCATAATTTGTTGCCTAATGGATTTGCGGCTGCTGATTGCTGTAGTTGTTGAGCGATTGTTTTTTTTAAAGCAGGGTGATCTGAAAACACTTTGTAGGAGACATGGGTTTGGGCTACCCCTTGGAATGCTGGGGAGGATTTGACTCCTTTACTGCTGAGGAGGGGGAAGGGCACGGACGCAGTTGGGACAGTGGCACAAACTCAAAAGGAAGGAAGAACTGGGCAATTTGAAAAACGGAATAAGCCAGTTTGGCTGGAAGGCGAGGTCTTGTGAGAAAGCAGATTGACAGCGACACAAAACACAGGGTAGGATCTAAAGCAAATGGCTTCAGGTTAAAGGAACTGCCCGGGCAACAGGAAACCCTTCCTTAGGTTGGGTAAGCAAGGAAGGAAATGCTTCTGGGCAATTAGGAAAGAAGGCAAATTATCAAGGGCTTGTTCCTGCCAGGTTTAGTACCCTCTTCCCTTACAGTGGAGGCAGCTGTGAGCGAAACCTCCGCCTTTTGTATAGCGGATGGGTGTGCCGTGTCCAGAGACAGGCAGGAAGGCCAGCTCTTCTGTTCCTGGGATGCAGAAACCAATTTTGAACCCTTTTTTTCCTCACAAAAATTGTCACTCTAGTTTTTAGGTGACTGATTCGAAGGCAAGTGACAATTTTCCCTATGGCTCCTTATTTTAAAAAGGAAGAAAATAATAAGGAAATTTGGAAATGAAAGATCAGTCAATCAACATAGTAGTTTACTTTTTAACTGCATATTAAGAAATGTTCAGCTTTTTTTTTTTAGAAGTTACTGTATTGTGTCAGATTAGTTATATAAAGCCACATTCTCATTGTGTAAAAGGAAGTCATGTATTATTATATGAAAAGGGTCCAAAGTCATCTGTTAACTGATCAGGTTATTTGAAAAGAGAGGTTATCTAGTTAGCCATGAGATAAAATGTATTTGAAATTATACAGTGTTATGTAAAATTATAGTAATTTAAAAGGTACCATCACATGCACCTTCAGTGGTTTGTTATTACAAAGTTACAAAACGGTGTCACACTTACCAGCGTTAGAATAGATTTCAGAGCAATTTGGAGCAATTAAGAATAACCTTGTAAAAGTAAAAGAAGCAAAATAAAATATAGACAGGAGCCATGACAGATGTTGCAGAATAGGGAGGGATGTGGAGACAATAAGCGCTGCTGTGATGACCGCAGCCCTGGCAACACGCGTCACAGATTAAATCATGAATGCCAGTTCGTGGGCACAGAGAAGCGAGAACAGAGAGCCCATTGTTTCAGCTCGTCCATCTAATTTCAAACCAATTGCTCAAGTAAAGGCTTCTCTCTTGGTTAGGGCCAATGGCAAATTAAAGAGCTGAAATATTGCAAATCTTGTAATTCACCCTGAATCACCAATCAGAACTAAATAAAAGAGCTTTGAGCACAGAAACGAATTAAATTCTTAGCCCTGCTTGCAAATAGAAGCCTGGAGAGAAGTGCAACTCAGTCATTTGGGTGGGCAGCCACTGCGCCCTGCTCTTGCAATCAGGTTCTAGCTAGTGTGGCGTGGGGGAGGGGCTCTCATCTCACTCTTCTGTGCCCATGACCACAGCTCCATGGAGTGGGGTGACAGGTCCCGCCATCCGCTGCAGGACCGGCGCAGGGCGCAGTGCGGGGGCCCAGGAAGGGGAGTGTCTTCTTAGATGGCAGCGTCTGCTGATGTTCAAGACATGTTTGGGTTCCTGCCTTTTCCTACTCTGGATCACTGTAATGAACTAATGAGCGAATACACGTGAAAGCACTTTTTTTTACACAAATGAAGGGATTACTGTTTCTATAATTTAGAGTGTGGAGTCAGGTGGTGGAAAGAGCGCAAAGTCAGAGGTCCTGGGTTTGCATCCTAGCTTCGAGAGCCGGCTCCATCTCATACTAGGTCCGCCTTTTCCCAGTGCTGTTTTCAAGTGTTTTTCCTGTGCCTTTTGCTTTTCCCTTTCATTTTAATTAATTAATTAATTAATTAATTTTGAGACAGAGTCTCACTTTGTCATCCAGGCTGGAGTGCAGTGGTGCGATCTCAGCTCACTGCAACCTCTGCCTCCTGGGTTCAAGCAATTCTCCCACCTTAGCCTTTTGGGGCCTGCTGGGTATCTAACCTCCCTGGATGGCTCAGAGGACCTCAAACCCAGCCTTCTATAGTGAATTCCTTGGCTTGGGCATCTCCCCACCCTGCCCCCACCAGCCTGCCCTTCCTCCTTGTCCCTAGCTCTGTGAATGGCATTAGCAACCACCACGTGGCTCTGGCCCCGAGCTGGCTTGACAAGGGAGCCAGTGAGCTCATGTTGCTGCCAGGTTACTGCACAGCCTCCTTGATACAGTTTGTGAAGGCATACACTTGTACGTTTTACAGCACTGTCCGGTGCTGGAATATATGATTTCTTCTCACCCAACAAGGCCTCATTCCTCCTACTTACCCTTTCAACATGCATATCTGGTCACTTTCTGGTTTAGTATTCCTTGGTGACACCTCTTTGCTCCATGATGTGACACGAGAGGACTCTGCCTTCCTCATAGCGTTTTCTTCTGCTGGTCCCCGAGCCTTACTAAGGTTCCTGCAGGCAGTCCCTGCGATGGCCCCCACCCCACTTACCCCTTTGCTTTGGCAGACTGAGCAAGTGCCCTCTGCCTGGGGACCCCTTCTCTTCCATGTCGCCTCCAGGTCTCAGTTCTGCGGCTGCTTCTCTGGAAAGCCTTTGTGAGGACTGTTCACAGTACATGCGTTGTCTATTGTCCCCCCTCCCTCGCATTTGACCAGGGCCTGGCAGGGTTTAAGTAGTATGCACTCAGGAAGACAGAGTTACGAAAGTACATGGCTAGCAGCACCGACCTGGGTTCTAATCCCAGCTCTGTCTCTAACTGTGCGATCTTGCCAGTGTACTTATTACCCTTTGGATACCTCAGTTTTCTGTCATCTGTAAAACGGACATAATAGAGTGGGAAGGTTTAAATGCGTTAACACTTATAAAGCATTTTAGAACCAAGCTTGGCTCATCATAAGAGCTTAAATAATAGCTGTCCTTATTTATTTTAGTAGTAGGACTCCACGGGCTCATTTAAAAGTCATATTGTGCTGTACTCTTACTATTGCTGGGGTTTTATTAAGGAATATAGTGTAATTTGGGGCCCACAACTTTTCATCTTCATTAAGGTTAATATCAGATATTCATTTTAGTAGAATTAATTTATATGTGACAAAAGGAAATAGTTTTTCCTGAAAGATAAGAACAATTCTGGGAATACAGACATACAGAATCATGGAGACACAGTCCCAACAGTAGTTTATCTAGCCGAGTTGGAGATTTATTCACATTTCTTCCATTTCAAAGATTGTGCTGGTCTCCCAGAAGCATTTTTTGAAGCTCTTTGTGCAGAAGAGAGATCAATATTATTTATCAGAGGCCTTCCTTGGCCATGCAAATCATCATGTATGTTTGCAAACCAGAGCCACGTAAAAGAGATGGTTTTGAATATGATTACTTTTGTTTTGCATGAGCGTTTTTATATCCTCTAGAAATCTTTCACTCTTGTGGGGACACAGTTTAATAATCTTTAATGACATGTTGTATGTGACATTAATGTGCTCACATAGCTGATGCTTCCCTGTTTTTCTTCCAACATCAGAGTAGTAACATTTCCCCCGAGGTTTGCTCAGGCCGTCCAGCCTTCTCTTGCTTTTGCCAGCAGGGGGGGCACGAGCTCCTTTGAAAGTCAGCACATGTCTTCAGGCTGGTTTTTTCTTCCAGAGGTGGAGTGGATTGTCTTGCCCACTCCTTCTAAAGTGACCCCATGAGATCCTGTCGAGCCCTGATCTGGAAGTGGGTAGAGGAGATGGGCACGGTGTGTGTTAGATCTAAAATAGCCTCCAGGATTGTCGTGGCTGAATTTGTTAAGCTAATGGCTTATATTTCATAGGTTTTGAGTAACTTGAATTTTACCAGAAATTCATGTAAATCAATTTGGCAACAGGTGAATCAAATTTTACTTGGCATATTTAGTCCAATCTTATGGCTTAGGAAAAGCAAGGTTCAGAAACCTTGACCCTTATGTTAAGGTAAGTCTTATTATTAAACAAAACACAAATCATGGCAACAAGCTGTTAGAATTAAAACTGTTCTTGGAGTTGAAAACTAGGGGAAAATATATACTGTGAGCACATTGTGTAAAAAGCTAAGCATAGATTCTTAATCCTTTTTTTTTTTTTTGAGTCGAGTCTCACTCTTGTTGCCTAGGCTGGAGTGCAGTGGCGTGATCTCTGCTCACTGCAACTCTACCTCCCAGGTTCAAGCACTTCCCTTGCCTCAGCCTCCTGAGTAGCTGGGACTACTGGTGCGCGCCACGCTGCCTGGCTAATTTTTTGTATTTTTAGTAGAGACGGGGATTCACCGTGTTGGCCAAGATGGTCTTGATTTCCTGACCTCATGATCCATCTGCCTCAGCCTCCCAAAGTGCTGGGATTACAGGCGTGAGCTACCATGCCTGACTCCAGATTCTTATTCTTTCTTAAGCAATATGCTAGAACATACTGACTGCTTTAAGATTTAACTGCTTTAAGAAATTGATCAACATTTTACTAGAATGAAAAATAAGTTTAATTTTTTGCTATGAAATTATAGTGAGTGGTATTAAGTTCCATTTTAAAAGGCAACTAAAAGATCCATGTTAAAAGACATGTCGTAGCTTATAAATCTGTTCTAAATGTCGGTGGTGCAACTGAATTATAAGAATGTTTTTAAGATTTACAGACACTAAGAATCAGAAATTAGAAGGTTCTTTGACAAATTTTTCTTTTGAATTTAAAATTAATCTTTGGGTTCGATGAGGTTTTTAAGCTTATTCAGTGTTATCTGGAAATAGTAATCGTATCTACATTTGATTATCAGAAATGATGACTTCAAATGTCCCTCTTCTGCAGTGTGAAATGACACTGCTATATGTTCCACAACTGCCACCCAACTTGGACAACATCAAAGTCATCTCATGGCCCTAATGGAGGGCAGACTGTACTCCCTTGTTCAAAATAAATCAGTCACTTGAAGGCAGTGTCTGATGGGAGAGAAGGGAGTAAGAGTTCTCTTTGTTTTAACTTTGTGTTATGGTTTTCTTGGGCAGCAAGTACAAAAGTGCAGCTCGAAGCTGTAGCTCATTCTGTTTGTGGGTTTTATTTCTCACAGCAGTCCAGTGTCTATTTAACATAACGGGGAGTGGTTTCAAGTTCATTACTAAAGCTTATAGGCTAAAGTGCTTTGTGGGCTTGGCTATGACTTAAGTCGCTTTGGGGAGTCAGCCAAAACTGGGCTTGGGAACAGGAAGGCTTTCCCCGTTTATTTGGATTCTCAAGGTAGTCCGTTTTGCCCCCTCTCGGCTATCAGCTGCTTTGGAGATTGTTTTCGCAGTAAGGATTCTTTCTTTAAAGGGATATGGAGCGACTACTTTCACAGGGGCACCAGGTTAGTAAATAACGTTTTGCACTTTCGGCTGCATGTGTCAGGTTTTCTTTCTGAGCTCATGGTGTGATGATAGGACAGATGGGGTTGCTGCATTCATTTAGAAAATAATGAGTTTGTTTAACCTGTGGAGGTGTAGGCAGTTGTGTTCTCTTTGTAATATATATATTGTTTGACCATATTAAGTACAATTGGTAGCCAGGAGGAAATGACATACTAATATATGTGTTAGATTTGCAGTCTAGAGGTCTTGTTAGTGAATATCAGGCCCCCCTCAACGGTTTGTTTTTTTTTTTTTTGAGGCAGGGTGTTGCTCTGTCACCAAGGCTGGAGTGCAGTTGAATGATCATGGCTCACTGTAGTCTTAACCTCTTGGGCTCAAGCCTCCCAAATAGCTGGGATTACAGGTGCATGCCGCCACACCCATCTAATTTTTTTTTTATACTTTTTTATAGAGACTGGGTTTTGCCATGTTTCCCAGGCTGGTCTCCAACTCCGGGGCTCAAGCAATTCGCCTGCCTCATCCTCCTAAAGTGCTGGAATTACAAGCATGAACCACATTGCCTGGCCCTGTCTCTTTCTTATCATTACTTTCTTTGTGTCCTCGCACTAAATCTTCTGGGGCTAAGTATGATTTTTATCCGCAGTGGATTTTATTTTTTTAAACGTTAAGCAGAGGGGGGATTGTGCCCGAGCTGGTGTTGTCCTCCCACGCCACACTTGTGCACTCTTGTCTGATGCACGGTTTTTCCTCGGGCCTACTCCTTGGAGTTACAGTGAACCAGAATATCATTTTCATTTTCTCTTTGAAAAGTCTGGCACTTTTCTGGAATGCCCCATAAGATACTGGCATAAGAATTGATTCAGGCAGAGTGTACAGCTGGATTAAGCCTGACTGAATCCCGTCTTCAGTTTTGCTGTTTTTATTTTCAAGTGATTCTTCAGAATACGAGATTACCTTATCATTAAAGAACAGCTATAAAAATGCAGTGTGACTTGTAAAACATAAACGTATTGTTAACAGTAATTAAGAAATTAAGTCAGTATAATTAAGCACAGAGGAAGACACTGTCTTTATTAATCTCATTGATTTAAAGATCTAAAGAGCAATTCTGCCTCTGTTAATTTGCCACCAAAGCAATCTGGCATGAACTTGTTCTATAGGAGTAAGTAGTTCAATTTGGTGTTTTAAAGTTAGCAACACTTTATGGAATATAGTTTCTCTTGCTTTTTTGTTATTTTAAGTATTCTTTAGTTCAGGGTAATGTAGTAGTGTTTTAAAATATGCTAATAATGCTTCTGTTATTGCAATTTTATTCTCCTTTTTTCCCCACTGGGAAATACAGTGTATTAGAAAGGGTCTATTCTTTCATGTTCTTCTCTGCTTAAAAAAAAAAAAAAAACGAGGGAGAAGGGAGACAGAAATAGATACTTACGAAAGTTCTTTGAGGTGATATGCTAAACTTTGAGGCTACCTTTTCCGTGAGTGCTAAGTTGAAGTTATATGTTTTGGCTGCATGCCATTTATACAAAATTGACTATATTTTATACTGCAAAGACACAACTGTACAGCTGTGTTATTGCCTCTGCCTCTGCAGATACCTTCTTTGAGAGGAAGTTTATTATGTCATTTTAGCTTTCCCAGAAGTGCAAAGATTACTAAGACTTTGCTTAGTTTTATATATATATGCACATACATGCCATATATTTCCTATTACTGCACATACATGCTATTGTGCAATTATTAATTATTAAATGGTATTAACTGACATTTGAAGGAATGACTTGTCCACCCGATTGTAGCTGCCTGATGATTTTATTCATTGATTACAGGTTTGTGTTTGATGCGTACAGACAAAGGTCTTTAAAAGCTTAACATAAAACTCATTTGTATCTTGGAGATCTCAGTTTCTGTGTTCCCAAGTGCTTCATAGCTTCTCATCTAGAGATAGTAAAAAAGCAAAGACCTTTGATTAAAAACGAAAATAATGTGGCAAAGGATTGGCTAACAAAGAAACTGCCTGAAACCCAGATTTTAGGGTTTTTCCAGAGAGTATACACATTAAAACGTTTCCTCCAAATGTGGGAGAAAAAAAAAAGGACTGCTCAGTAGAAGTTCAGAATCTGTAAATTTGAGATGAAGTGTCTAAGCAAAGCTTCAATTATTCCTGATTCGAGGTTTGGAACACACATTGCATTTTCGTTCTCATCCTGCCGGACTGGCTTAATTTTGTTACATCTGGGTCTTTTGGCCAATAAGACATGGGCATTTATCTCATAACATCCATCTGATCTTCAGCTGAGCTTTGTGCTGATTAATTTTTATCCAGCATGCTTTCTTGTTGATATTCAAAGTGATTTAGATGTCTCACATATCTCCTATGGTTTATGAACTTAGCTATGACCCAGCAGCGTGTGATACCTATTTTCTTATAAAATGAATCTGAGTGCTGTCTTTGGCAGCACTTATACTCAAATTGGAACGATACAGAGAAGATTAGCATGGCCCCTGCACAAGGACGACTTGCAAATTTGTGAAGCATTCCATATTTTTAAAGAATTATAAATCGATATAAAGACACATGCACACGTATGTTCATTGTGGCACTATTTACAATAGCAAAGATTTGGAACCAACCCGAATGCCCATCAAAGATAGACTCGATAAAGAAAATATGGCACATATTCACCATGGAATACTATACAGCCATAAAAAAGGATGAGTTCATGACTTTTGCAGGGATGTGGATGAATCTGGAAACCATCATTCTCAGCAAACTGACACAAGAGCAGAAAACTAAATACCACATGTTCTCACTTATGGGTGTTGAACAATGAGAGCATGTGGACCCAGGGAGGGGAACATCACACACTGGGGTCTGCTAGGGGTTGGGGGGCTAGGGGAGAAATAGCAGGGGGTGGGGAGACTGGGAAGGGATAACATTAGGAGAAATACCTAATGTAGTTGATGGGGGGACGGAGGCAGCAAACCACCATGGCATGTGTATACCTATGTAACAGTCCTTCAAGATCTGCACATGTACCCCAGAATTTAAAGTAAAATTAAAAAAAAGTGAATCTGAGTTTCAAACTTGGAGGTAAATCCTTAGGTAAACTTTTAAAACTTGAATTGGCTACGCCCCAAATGTTGAGGAAGTTGCGTGGCAGTAGGAGATCAGGAGGCTGAGGAAGGAATTGAAGGACTAGGAGTAGTGTTGGTATTAGAGGTGAATGTTCTGACTGCAAACCTCAGTGGATTTTCACCTGATGGACCAGTTCCCTTCACACCGCAGATCACGCCTTGTTCCTGTGTAATCACACATAGTCTTAATCTTTGCAGCACGTGGTTTGGGAAGTGTAGGCTTTTGATATGCAGTTCATAGCCTTGTCAGCTTCACGTAATGACTGAAACGAACAGTGCCACATCTGCCTTTCCATGCCTTACCTTCTGGTTCTTGCCCTCCTCGAGAACCAGGTGCTTGTGTGCACATAGGTCTTATGGTTATGTATCAGAAAATGTGGGAGATGGTGATGCCACCCACCCTGGAAATTCACTATTTTAGTAATGTCAGTAAATACTTACCTTCCCAGAGGGATTGCAAAAGCTGAGGACAGAGTATACTCCTGGAGCTGATCTGACCACAGAGCTCCCCAGTTACCTGTTTCTTTCTGAAAGTCCCAATTTAATCTTGACCTGGCATTTTGGGGTAGAGAAGCGGTGATGGTATAATAGTCATAGCAGAAGTGGCAGAATAGTGGCAATAACAATAATAATAATAATAATGAACACTCAGCAGACATTTCCTAAGTGCAATCGCTGTTCTAAGCCTTTTTTTTTCTGAGGCAGAGTCTCATTCTGTTACCCGGGCTGGAGTGCAGCGGCATGATCACTGCTCCCTGCAACCTCAAACTCGTGGTCTTAGTTAACCTCCCACCTTGGCTTCCCAAAATGCTGGGATTACAGGCATGAGCCACCATGCCTGGCCTGCTCTAAGCCTTTTACTTCGTCCTCACAACAACCTTAAGTGGTCGATTTTATTATCTCCATTTTACAGTTGAGGAAGCTCTCCAAGAAAGTTAGGTTGACCCAAGTCAGAGCAACTAGTAAGTAGCAGTGACAGTGTTGTGCATTAGAGAGTGCTGTGGAGGGGGAAACGGAAAATATAATCCAGTATTACAAAACTGTAAGGAAAAAATATAATCCAATACATTTCGGATTACACTATATCCAATATAATCCAGTATTTATTATTGAGATATTGACATCTGTGCTGCTCTTCCTTTCGAAGATGCTCCGTTGACCTTCTGTCAACAAGCAAGGGAAGCTGTTTGTGTCCTTTCTCTACTTAGGTTGGGGTGAGCTTGTGCTCTGCCTTCTCACTCACTCTGCTCATGACCAGTGGCAAGAACCTGGAGACCGATGGCAGTATAAAGAGGTTGCGCATGGTCCGTAAATGAAAACAGTAGGGACCAGTCAACATGGAGAATAGCCCTCTGCATTGAATACTGTATTTTAACTACTTAAGCTACTCTTGGGATTTTAGAGACTTTTTAAGGCTAAAATAATAAAACCACTAAAGCTAGGAACTTGGACTTTCTGATTGTTTAGCTTTAATATGGCCTGTATGAGTGTCCTCTTTATTTCTGCCCACTATACTTCCTGCTAGCAATCAAAGCTGTGGTGATTTTGTCAGTCTTGAAGGTTTTCTTAAGCTTAATGGATAACCAAGATTATGAGACATGTATTTTTTTAAAGACATAAATGTGCATTTGAAAATATTGAGCAAGGGCTAGGCGTGGTGGCTCACGCCTGTAATCCCAGCACTTTGGGAGGCCGAGGTGGGTGGATCATGAGGTCAAGAGATCGAGACCATCCTGATCAACATGGTGAAACCCCGTCTCTACTAAAAATACAAAAAATTAGCTGGGCATGGTGGTGTGTGCCTGTAATCCCAGCTACTCAGGAGGCTGAGGCAGGAGAATTGCCTGAACCCAGGAGGTGAAGGTTGCGGTGAGCCAAGATCGCGCCATTGCACTCCAGCCTGGGTAACAAGAGCGAAACTCTGCCTCAAAAAACAAAAATATTGAGCAAACAACTTCTACCCAATTTGGCTAAAATGTAAACGTGATGAATAAGTTTGGAATGTATAGGAATATAGAACAATACAGCCCAGACAGATTAAGGAGCTAACTTAAAAGAAACCAAACAATAAAACTTCTGATCTGTGAATGGGTAAGCACTTTCTCTTCCCAAAATCAATAGAGGAAATCACAAAAGGAAAAAGTCAATCAATTTAAATTTTTTAGGTAGGAGTGTAGAAGCTTTGAATATAAAAATGTTAATTGAAGGATTATTTATTACCATGAAAAGCTGCAAATAATAAAACATAGGGTAGCAGAAGAAAATGGCATGGTAGACCATTACAATTTTATTTATGGAAAACTGTCATAGGAGGAAATGGTGGTGACAGACCTTTAAACTATCTATTAAACTATCTATACACCACACATGTGAATGTGTTTAAAATAGACCTCTCTATGTGTGTGTGTTCTGCTTACAGAGACAACGGAAAGCGAGATCGCCTTAAGTTAACAGGGATTTGGGGGTTAGTTTGAAGGTGGGATAAATCTGATGATTTATATTTTCTTCTTACACACTTTTCTACATATTGGTATTTTTAAACATGATTACTTTATATCATTTATAAAAGGGAAAAACTATTCATGGAGAAAAGAATGAGAATATACCAACATTTAATAGTGGAAATAGACTAACATTACTCTTAATCTGTGAAGGTAATAGCTCTAAGACTGATTTTAATTTTCTCAAATTTTTACATATTTAAGGTTTTCTTAAATAATAATTATTTTTCTAATGAAAGTTAAAATCAATTAGAAGTGACAGTTTAGAGTTGACGTGAAATGTGACAGGTTAGAGTTGAGGCGAAATGAACTTTTATAAAGGACAGGATCCGTTTACTTTGGAGAACAATTATGTTTCTGCCCTTATACATCATGTTAGGAAACATACCTTTTTGACTTTTCTGTGTCAGGCTTATAATTTTAGTTAGGTTTTACAGTTAATTAAATTATAAAGTTGATAGTTTAGTTAATAAAGGATATGGAAGAAGTTCACTGAAATACTTGAAACATCAGTCCAGGAAAGATCCTTTGAGGGATTTTCAATATATCCAGATGTCCGGATAATAATTCTTTGGTCTAAGCGCAGTTGGTGATGTGATCAGGGACACATCACCATACCAGGGCATACCAGGGCAGTCCTTAGTAGGGACGATTTCACTGGAATGCTGAAGGCAGAAGAAAACCTTAGAGTAGCTGGCTTCATTCTTCCCCCTCCTCATTTGATAGATCAAGTCACTGAAGCCCAAAATGATTGTCCTCAAGGCTACAAAGTTGTAGTAGATTCGAATGGGGGTTTTTGAGGTCCTTTGACTCCCCATTTGCTACTCTTTATAATATTCTGCTCATTTTCACACACTGTAGTAATGATGAATGAAACCATATTTCCATTTATCGTAGGTTGGTAAAAAGAAAAAGCTAATGCATTCGGCACTTACTTAATGATAGAGAAAGAGGCGGTAGGCTGATAACGCCTCCTGAGGAAGACCTACCAACTTCACATGCTCATTATTCTCACCATGCTACTGGAACATTTTGTTCTTAGGCACAAGGCTACTTTACACACATCTGGTTTCTGTGTTTGCTCTGGAAGACATGAGCCACCTGGAGTGACTAGAGAACACTTGATACTGAGCCGTGAGAATTGTTTTTTACAGCTTTATTGATATTGTATAATTTACAGATCATAAAGTTAAGCCCTTTGAACTATACAATTCATTGGTTTTTCAGATATCCACAGAGTTGCGTGACCATAACTATCATCCATTTTTTGAACATTTTCATTACTCCAAAAAGAAACTTTGTACCCATCCTCCCTGCCTCCCTCTTCTCCTCCCCTAGCTCCAGGTACCTGTTATTCTACTTTCTTCCTTTTTCTTCCTCCCTTCCCCTCCTCTCCCTTCCCCTCCCTTCCCCTCCCCTCCCCTCCCCTCCCCTCCCCGCCCCTCCCCTCCCCTCCCTTCCCCTCCCCTCCCCTCCCCTCCCCTCCTCTCCCTTCCCCTCCCCTCCCCTCCCCTCCCCTCCCTTCTTTTTTCTTTCCCCATTTTGAACATCTCATCTGAGTGGAATCATACAATATGCGAGAATCCTGAACATTTTGATTTGATTTTCAAAGACCACGTAGGCAAACACGACGTGGTTACTCTGCAGGCCTCGTCTTCCCGGCAGCGTCCTGAGTATGAGATGAAAACCAAATGAACTCTGTCAGTGCTGTCAATTATTTTATTAGATTAAATGACTTGTTTTTGGCCTCTGGAGTGTCTAACTCTTCAACTTTTCAAAGTTAGATAAAAGTACATACTCATTAATATGAGTCTGTTGTAGGCCATGTTGCAAAATTTCTGGGTGAGACCATTGCTTATTAGCTCTGACCTTGAGCAAATTACTTGACTTCTCTAAGACGCAACTTCCTTATCTATAAAATGCGGATAATAGTATTACTTATCTTAGAGGGTTCTTGCAAGAATTAAATGAAATAATGTATAGAAAAAGCTTATAATACCCAATAGATTATAAGTGTTAAATGAATATTAGCAATTATTATGTGTCATTGAAAATAAACTGTAGACCAGGTGCGGTAGCTCATGCCTGTAATCTCAGTACTTTGGGAGCCTAGACAAGAGGATCACTTGCGCCCATGAGTTTCAGTCCTCTGTGGGCAACACAGAGAAACTCCATCTCTACTAAAAACATAAATAAAATTAGCCGGATGTGGTGGCATGTGACTATCGTCCCAGCTACTTGGGAGGCTGAGGTGGCTGCGTTGCTTGAACCTAGGAGCTCAAGGCTACAGTGAGCTTTGATCACTCATTTTAGTAATGGGAAATGAAATTATATTTCCATTTCTCCTAGGTACGTAAAAACTAAAAGCTAATGCCATTCAGCACTTACCTAGTGATGTTGGAGAAAGAGGTGTTAGGCTGATTACTGCTTGCTAGGAAGACCTGTCAACTTCATCAGCATAGAGACAGAGTGAGACTCTATCTCAAAAAAAAAAAAAAAAAAAAAAAAAGGAAAAAAGAAATAGAATAAGCTGTAGAATGTTATTTTATTCTATTTTTATGCTATAGTAATTATTTGAATTGGCTTGCAGGAATCTTCACACAACATTAAACATATACACATTCATACAAGAATAAAACATTAAAATCAGGTATCAGGAATAATTGTGTTAGTAGAAAGATAATATCAGAGGAAATAATAATAATAGTAATGATAGCCAACATGTATATAGCAGGTTCTCTTTTCTTTTCTCTCCCTTCCCTCTTCCCTCTCCTCTCTTCTCTTCTGTTTTAGAGACTGAGTATTGCTCTATTGCTCAGGCTGGAGTGCAGTAGTGTCATCAAACTTCACCACAGCCTTGACCTGCTGGGCTCAAACTGTTCTCCTACCTCAGCCTCTCCAGTAGCTAGGACTCAGGTGTGAGCCACCATCCCTGGTCTATAGCAGGGTTTTAATAAACCTTTCTTTCAGTGTCTTTCCTTGTGAGTTGAAGGAATAATGCCAAATCATAAATGAACAGAGACAACCAATGAGAGCCCCAGGCTGGGAAAACCTTCGATGGTTTCTAGTCTCCACTCACACTGGTGCACGAGACTTCGCCATAGATGACAGTCTGGTGTGGTGTGCTGATGGAACTCAGAGTGAGAGTGAGTTCACCAGCTCACACTTTGAATAGCTATTATTTATATGTATCTTAAGCACTTACTAGGAGCTAAGCTAGAATTAGAATCCAAAATGACTCCAAATCTACATAATCAGGATGTAAAATTGCTTCTTACCAGTTTTCCTGTTAATAGTTCTGTTTTACAGAGTGCTCTCACACATGTTAAACTGAAATTTACACTCTTGTAGCCACCCCCTCACCCTCCTGAGTCTCATAGTATCTTCTACATGGAGAACCAAATTCCTAATCAGATAGTGCTTCAGGTGTCTGAAAACAATTATCATGGCCTTCATCTACCTCACTTTCTTGCTCAGACATCCAGAGATACATATATTGTTTCTTAGATGACACAGTCCAACCCACCATACCTCTTCCTCTTTCCTGGAATGGGCTTTCCACTCACATGGACTCTGAAGTGGTTTTCAAGATTCCTGTCCTGGGAGCTTTACCAGCAGCAACCTCCCCAATGCCCAGATGTTGAGTAGCTCCTCCTCTGGGTTCCCGCTACACTTCTGTTCACATGCGAGAATTCACTGTGTCCTTCCCTGGCCTGTGAGCCCCTGAGGGAGAGCTTTGTTTATCTTTCCGTTCTAAACCCCATCCTAGCCCCTGACACTTAGTAACTTCTCAATACAGTGGAAGAGAGAACCTGATCTTACTTCATGTGGACACCTAACTATATCTGGTTTTAGAGAGGTTGCAACTATAAGAAACGTTTTTGGATAGGAAATGTGTAGGCAACCCTTGATTAACGGAGGGCTGAGGAAGATAACCAAAAAGCCCGTGGCTTCTCCTAGACCAAAAGTAAGTAGCATCATCTAGGGAAGAAGACTGGGAAGGCTTTTCTCTTGGTTACTGCACCATTCATTTTCACTTGGTGAAAGTGTCCACTAACATCCTGATGTAAGTAAGGTGATTGTCTGTTGGACAGGGTTGATATCCACCACCTTTGCTCAGAGAAATGTAGATAACATTGGCCTCTATCTAACATATGGTTGAATGACAAAGTTCACAGTAAACTTGATACCGGTGTTCAGATGAATGCTGATAAGAAGATACAGTCCAAAGTTATGTTTCTGTTTTAATAAGAGACCTTTGCAGTTTTCATGGAGTATGTATAGAGATAGTTTCTTAATGTGTGGATAGGGGGTTAATTTAAGGAAAAGCAGCCCGGTGCGGAGGCTCACACCTGTAAAAGCACTTTGGGAGGCTGAAGCAGGCAGATTACCTGAGGTCAGGAGTTTGAAACTGGCCCAACCAACATGGAGAAACCCTGTCTCTACTAAAAATACAAAAATTATCCAGGCATGGTGGTTGGTGCCTGTAATCCCAGCTACTTGGGAGGCTGAGGCAGGAGAATCGCTTGAAACTGGGAGGTGAAGGTTGCAGTGAGCCAAGATCACGCCGTTGCCCTCCAGCCTGGGCAACAGGAGTGAAACTCCATCTCACAAAAAGAAAAAAGAAAGAAGAAAAAGTGTGTTAACTGTGGAAACAAAGGGACTGGCCTATATCTAAAGGAAAGAAAACAGATCTCACTCAGGGTTTGTTGTGATTGATAAAAAATGGTCCACATCTTAAATGGATTAATTATGGGTCCAACTGGAACATTCTACACAGAATGAGCCCAGGTGCTGGTTGTTTTGTCTGGGAGTCTCAGGACTTACCACGTGCCTACTCTGAGCACTAGACTTAATACTTTCCCACTCTGTAAATCCTAGGAGGCACAGCTTCTTGACACCTGGGTTTGAATTTGCCAGGCTTCAACATCCAACTTGAGTCTGCCTCCCTTGTGCATGGTTACAGCACCAGACACCCCAGTGAAACCATCTTCTTCTTTTTGCTGTTTGCTGGTTTTTCCAGCAAAGGAGGTCTGGCCTAGGTGTAAAGGAGGAAGAGGCTGATGTGGAATTCTGAAGTTGAGGTAGATGCCAGGGTGCGTTTTCTGAGACCAAGAAGGAGGCTCCTCTGGAAAGCGCTGGCTCTTGGGAACTCGGGCTGATGGAGCATCTCCCTTTTTTAGGAAGCTCTGCATTTTCAAAGGCCTTTTAACTGTTGGATGGCTTGATACATTAGAAAGTTAGTAACTTGCCATGGTCTGTAGAAGGGGGATCCAGACCCTGCTTTGCCTGACTATAAGTGTGTTCCTACCCCTTGCTCTGGTCCTTCCCAAGTAGCCCTCCTGTGAAATTGGCTGATCCAAAATTCCCAGGGCTTTCTCACAAGAATAGCTGTTAGTCCAGGTGACTGCCGGCCTATACATGTATATGTGTGTTTAAACTTAAATGAGGATGTATACATTTATCTTATTCAATTTTGTTTAGCAGGGAACAACTTTGTGTATGTCCCTTTTCCCATATTTTTACAGTGTGATTACCAGATCAAAAAGTATAGATGCTTCTGTTGCTCTTCAAACATCCTACTAAATTTTGCCTGAGAATGGTGTCTCCATTAATAATGTCACCAGCAAGAGCTTGGTTTAGCACAATAGTGACTAGTTTTTATTACAATCCATTGCTGCTCTCATTTGGGCTTGGAACTTGGGTCTCTTGTGGAAACTCATGCATTTGATTCTCTCCTGGAGTTCCTCAAGTCCCCGTTAAGCCCCATCACTGAGGCTGACTCAGGCTAGTGAGTTACCCGCCAGTGCTCCTTTGGTGATTGACAAATGCCTCCAGGTTGCAGTGGCCTCTGGATTCCTCCTTGAGCCAGACCCTTTGGGGCTGCACTGCCCCAGACTTTGCTCTGCTTGCCTCTCATCCTTTTACTGTCAGCCTGCTCACTTCTTTCCTTTTCCTTCATTGTAAAATCCTGAGTTATTTTAGGCAGTTTATAGAAAATCTCTGAAACTAGAGGATGTCTCATGACAGTGGCAGAGTAAGAGTGTTGAGAATTAAAAGCTATTCTTTTTATAGAACCACGGTGGTTGAAGGAGGGATGTCTTGCAAACTTTTTAATACCTGGATGATTAATTAGCAAGAAATCCATTCTAATTGTTCTCATTATCACTAGATGAAGGCAGGGAAAGTGACAGCAGAAAGTGTGAAGAATGTATAATTGAAGGCATTAAGGAAAAGAACCCACCTAGTAGATTTTAAATCACAAAAAGGATGAAACTTAATAAAAGAAAGAATTTCTACCTGTATACTGTGTCATTCTCTTAGTTCTAGCAAGTGTAGATTTGTAAATCATGTAATTAAAAAATTAAATGTAATTTATTTTAAAAATGAGAATAAAGAAAAAAGTCAAATACACATCTTGGCGTCTACTGAAACCCCTTTCATTATTTGTATGACTTGTATAGGTGGAGTTATCAGGGTTCGAGAACGCTATTTAAACGAGTAAGAAATATTGAGCAAAACGGACTCCATCAGATGCTTCCTTAAATCCCAACTCACAGTCCAGCATCACTCAAATCTCTCGTGAGAGGACAGCTACTATCTTGAAACTCTCAGCCAAAAATGCAGGCCACCTTCTGCCTGAATAAGGCATGCCACTTAAAACCATAAACCCTACTGAAAAAACTCATTTAGATCCATTTTAAGCTTTAGTGTTGCATACGTGCTAAGCAAAATTGTGTTAATATTTAAAAGGAAAAAGTGACCTTGACAAGAAGCAGCTTCTGGATTGTGAAGGAAGGTGGTCCTATCAATCCACAGGGCAGCTTTACTATGCTTGATGAGTGATTCAGTATTTGCCAAAGTCTCAATGTATTTTCAATGGCTACATGATACATGCTTCTAAAGACAGGTTTGGAAATTTCAGAGGAGAGTAGAGCGCTAGATACACTGCCTATAGGTTCAGTTATTGCTTCTGTCATTTTCTCTGGGGATCTTCCTAGGTCCTTTATAAATATCATATGCCACTATCCAGGAGAAGGAAGGTCCTGGGGCAGCCATAACCAGTTGGTTTTGTCCTCTCTGGGCACAACGCTTCTGTCATATTTTCCTTCTTGGACATTTCTTCCTTCTGTCATGAAGGAAGTGTATTACTTTGGCGCTAGCCTAAATCAGTGTTTCGGAAGCTGATATGCACATGGCTTTCTTGGATGTCTTGTTAAAATGCAGATTCTGTTTCTGGAATATGACCAAGGTTCTGCATTTCCAAGAAGCTCCTGGGTGATGCCTATGTGGCTAGTCCATGGACCACACTCTCAGTAGCAAGGATCTCTGGGTTTCTATTGTCAACAGTCCCAGAGAGACAGACTGGGGGGGAAAGGTGAGCAATAAAACAGACGTTAAATGGCAGAGCAACATTTGTTCATTGATTACTGTGATTACTTTGGCCAGTGTTCAATTACGTTCAAAGAGGCAGCAGTGCACATTGATTAAGAACTTGGGCCGTGTAATCGTCTTTCTGCCATCCACCAGCTGAGTCATGTGAACACAAGACCAGTCTCTCTCAACCTCAGTTGCTGAAGTTGTGACACACAAATAATATAAAAATGTACTTTATAGGGTTATTGTGATGATTAGGTAATATAATGCGTATGCTTAATGTGTGCTTGCTAACTGTTAGTTGTGTTTATTGAACATGCCTTGCATATTAAGGTAGGGACAGAAAGATTAAAAGCCAACTCTTTAATTTCAGAGATTTAATTGGTTTATTTCGAAGTTCCAGAGTTGAGGTAAGATCTAAAACTTTTGACTCCAGGGCCAGTGCCCTTTCTGTCTGCATGCTCATTGGCTATTTCTTATATTGGGTTTCGGACCAGCTTTAATTAGGTAAAACTCATGTGCTGAATCATAGTGAATTGAACGCGTGCTGACTTTTAAGGCCAGGTGATTTAACATTTGGTGCCTGTGTTTAAGTGAGGTATTTCTGAGGATGGGAGTTAAAGGGCAGGTTTTTGTTTTGTTTTGTTTTTATCAGCTGATTTCTTGGGCAACTAGAACTGAATGATATCAAAGGCAGGTATAATCAATTTTTATTCTGGTGGAGCAAATTCTGAGCATATACTTGCTTTCCACTTTTGGCATCTATCTTTTTTTTTTTTCGAGACGGAGTTTCGCTCTTGTTACCCAGGCTGGAGTGCAATGGCACGATCTCGGCTCACCACAACCTCCTCCTCCTGGGTTCAAGCCTCAGCCTCCTGAGTAGCTGGGATTACAGGCACGCACCACCATGCCCAGCTAATTTTTGTATTTTTAGTAGAGACGGGGTTTCACCTTGTTGACCAGGATGGTCTCGATCTCTTGACCTCGTGATCCACCCACCTCGGCCTCCCAAAGTGCTGCGATTATAAGCGTGAGCCACTGCACCTGGCCGGCATCTATCAAAGTGATTTCAAAAGGACTCTGTTTTTATATGCGCTAACATGTTTTTCTAATAGAGACTGAAAACTTTGCACCCTTCGTCTTTTGCAACAATTGCCTGTCATTGAGTGCATGTGTGCCTTTGAGGAGCTGGGTATCCCTGCTTTGTGTCCGTGTTTTGTGCATTCTGTGGAACCCTGTCTTAAAAAGGAAATGACCACTGACCCAGGATTTCTCTTTTCTTTATCAAATTGTTTTTTCTAGTTACTGAGCCTTGCGCTTTTTCTGAACTTATAATAGTCTTCTTTGTGATATGTACTTTTGTAGTTTTTGAAAGGCAATAATTCCCAGTATGATTTTTGTGTTTGTGAAAATGTAATTATCTCACTGAGCAGAGTCTTCAGAAGGTAACAGTGGAATTAAAGTAATATTCAATATGGACGTTGATAGATTGCTTTCTTTAAGTTGTTTTGACATCTTTTTCCCTTTTTATTTTAGATATAAGCCATTTGTCTATTTTTGTTATAAGAAATGTAAAAATAATTTTTGTCCCCGGTTTTTCTGCTGTGGGATCAAGGAAAATTACTTCCTCTTTCTTTGGATACTGATTGATTTTTACAACTCTGCTTATTATTCCTATGCCATTGCTGATTTTAAAAAATCTGTATTGGGATATAATTTATAAACCATGAAATTCACCCATTTAAAGTGAACAATTCAAGGTTTTTAGTATATTGATGGAATTCTCTATGCAGATTTTCGCTAGCACATTTTTTCTTTCTTTTTCCACTCTGTATGCTTAAGGTTCTCTGTATTAACATTTCTTTAATGAATTTTGCCACTATTTATAGTTTTGGGCAGATGTAAATACTGTAACAATGACTTTTTAAAAGCTACTAACTTAAAATGCATCCTGATTACATCTTATGTTTTTATTCACTTTACATTATTGCCATTTTAGTGGTGAATCGATAATGTATCAACTATGCCCATGTGTTCTTCATTACCCCTTCCCTCAGCCTTCCTGTTGACACCCATCCGGTTTACCTTGTTCACCTTAAATATTGCATTGTTTCTTAAATGTGGCAGACAGAATTCTGGTGGGCCCATTAAGGGACTTTACACAGCTGAAACTCATCTGGAAATCATTGTTCACTGTAGCAACTTTATAAAGAGAGCTGGTTTTCTGTTTAGCAGAGTATCTTTTTATATTTGTGACAGGATACCATAGTTTAGCTGGGTAATTAAAAAACACTGAATAAAAGTGATGTTACTTATCCTACAAGGTCATATTTGGGGTAGCCCAAACTTATTTTTACTAAAGACTTTTAATCTCTAGGACCACAGCATCAAAACCACTCTAGGGGAAGGGCTGCTGAGACAAAGTCTAAATGCCTTAACGTCACCTCTCTTGTACTCTGTGTCCAGGTACACTGCACCTTTTTGATTTCTTCAAACCTGTCATGGTTATGGAGATAAAATATGGTGGTCAGAGGGGAGAGGTATTTAGAATTTGGCTGGATTTATTAACTGATTGCATAGTGAGATTTAAGAAAGATAATTGCTAAGGTTGAGTTCCAGGATTCTGGTTCATGCAGCTGGGTAGATGACGTTTTCAATTCTTTTCAGGAAGAAAACATAGGAAAAGGGAATGTTTCATGGTTAAAAGATGTTGGATTCTGGGCCGGGCATGGTGGCTCAAGTCTGTAATCCCAGCACTTTGGGAGGCCGAGGCGGGTGGATCACGAGGTCAAGATATCGAGACCATCCTGGTCAACATGGTGAAACCCCGTCTCAACTAAAAATACAAAAAATTAGCTGGGCATGGTGGCACGTGCCTGTAATCCCAGCTACTCAGGAGGCTGAGGCAGGAGAATTGCTTGAACCCAGGAGGCGGAGGTTGCGGTGAGCCGAGATTGCACCATTGCACTCCAGCCTGGGTAACAAGAGCGAAACTCCGTCTCAAAAAAAAAAAAAAAAGAAAAAAAAGATGTTGGATTCTGTTTTGAGCTTTTTGAGATGCTCTATGGGATTACCCAGTGGGGAAGTTCCTACGCAGCTGGATAGATAGGTCTGAAGATCAGGGCAGGGAACACAGTTGGAAATGGTTACTGAGGGCCCAGTAGATGCTAGTGGCAGAGAGATGGCCTCTCTCTTCCGGGAGCTCCCAGTCTTCTAAGGGTGACAGAACCAAGGGGAAAGGAACGTACTCAATAGTCATATCCTTGAGGAAAAGAAACATCAGCATGTATTTTAACCATTAGAGTGGATGAGATCACCCTGAGAGGTGTGTAGAGTGAGAAAGAATAATCCCAGGACCCTGAACAATATTGGCATGTAAGTTTTGCGCATAAGAAGAAAAGCATCACAGAAAACTCCATCTCAGTTGCCAGACGGAGGAGGAAAACTAGAGGAGTTCAGTGACCCTCAAGAAGAACACAGTCAAGGGTTGTGCTAGAGAAAGATTGAGATAAGAATGGGGAGGTGTCCTTTAGATTCTGAAATATGCAGGTGGTTATGAACTTTGGAGACAGCTGTTTGGTGCAGTGTGGAAATGGAGGCCAGTGGCAGCAGGTTCAAGAGGGAGGAGAGATGAACTAGAAGGAGCAAGTAGACAACTTCCTTTGGAAGTTGACTTTGAAAAGGGGGTGAGAGACATAGGTGGAAAGCCCCATAAATGCCAGTCTGTGTAGCTGAGTGCTTTTTCTCCAGCTTGAGGTAAGTGCTAAGGAGGCAGATAATTGATGTGGCCCAGGACTGAATTTTTCCAGGTGACTACCAAAGAAGGACACACGAGCAGAGATTTTTGGGCAAGTGAAGAGTTAGAGATGGGCTACATGCTCTCAGCTGGATGAACAGGGGTGTGAGGTCTAGAAGGAGCTGGTGGCGAGTTAACACCTTGTCAGAGAGACAGTAATAGCTGAGTCTCAAGGGACCAGAGTCGCCCGCACAGCTGTCCCACCAGATAGGATGGAGATTTTTTTAATAATGAGTGAGTCACGAGGCAAATTTCCGGTCATTTTGTCGTAAGCCCTACCTTTGAGATGTTTTGCCGGCTTGGAAGAAGGATATAATACCACTAATATTTATGTTCATCCGTCATGCTGGAGGAAAATGGAAGTGTTATTGCTATTGTTCTGGCTGTATTATTTCCTTTTCTAGCTTTGCTTTTTTTTTTTTTGTCCAAATTAACCAGAATTGATTTATTTTCAATTCTAATAAGGAGTTTAGTTAGACACAAGGTGAGAAGACTGGTTTCCAGACATGAGATTTTGGTGAGGAGAATTTATGGAGATTGTACACATCTGAATATGAAAGCAGTAACTTATAGGAAAAGGAAAAAGCAGGGAACAGGAAGTTGAGGGGTCAGGACTGAGTCTCAGACCAACAGTTTCACAGTATGACCTTAATCGTTTTGAGTTCTTAGGTTAAGAATAATAGTTTCCCCTGTAGGATTATTAGGAAAATTAAGATGTATGTGTATGGAATGCCTTGTAATCCAGAAAGTGTTATGCACATATTCTCTATGCTGCCCAAACTGTGAGCAGTTCTAAGTCTTCTTCATATTCATTCCTTCCCATTTGATTCATTCAGAAACAGTGACAGAGAACCCAATAGACATCAGTGACTCAGGATTTAGAGACAGCCTCTCCCTTCAGAAAACTCAGTCTTTCAGAGGAGTCAGAGGCCAAGTGGAAAGGGAGGTGCTCAATGGACTCACTTGGGTGCCATAGAAACACTGAGAGCAAAGGCTTCTAAACCAGACCGGGCTATCAGGGGAGGCTTGCTGGAGGAGATGTCACCTGATACGACGAGTCCCAAGGGATGATAGGAATCAATCAGGCAAAGAAGGGGTTGGAGGAAGGCAAACCTGCAGAAGGAGCAGCATATTGCAAGGCTGAGGCTGCAGAGCATGGAGCATGTTTGGTTCAGTCCAGCTGAGCAGGGAAACCTAATACAAAAACCACGACCATGAGTCACAGCAAGAGAGAAGCGACAGAAGGGAACATATGTGTAATTGAGATACTTGAGAATGTCTCAAGTGGTAATAGGGGAAAGCCACAGGATCAGGAGAAGTTGATAAGGGAGTTTATTGGTGAAGTAATGAGAGGAGGCTGGAAACAAGCAAAGGTGGGACGCAGGAGAGGCAGAGGAGGGGCTCTCTTCCAATGTTTTCGTGGGAAAGGAGTCAAAATCACAAATAAGGTGAGGGACATTGAGAGATTCTGTCCTTAAAGCCTCCCTTGTCATGTAAAGTGAAATGCATGAGGTTATTTTATGTTTCAGTGCCTAGCATGGTGCTCAGCACATAGTAGGTGTTCAATAAATACACATCGAGTGAACTACTGTCATCCTGAGAACTGCTTAAGAAGCCCTACAGAGCAGCTGGACTGGAAAGCAAGGTGGCTTATCCATCTGGCTGGGGCATACTGACTCTTTCCAGTTCATCAAAGTTTGGCAGCCTGCTTTTTAACTTGCCATTTGTTGTTAGTATTGATGCAGCCTGTTTGCTTCTGACCTTGGGAATGTCGCAGGATAGAGATGTCCCAAGAATATCTCTATTCCTTAGTACTATGCATAGGAGCAGCAGTTTCTTGAACAAAGATCAAACTAGTTCTTTCCCAGTGAGGCTGGCGGCCCATCCACGCCCACTGAGCAGAATCTGGCTGCAGCTCAGACAAAAGCAGTTTATCCTGTCTGTCTGGTTGTCTTTCTTACACATTTCGGACATGGTTCAAAGCTGCGTTATAAGAAAAAAATCTGCCCCTGAAACAGACTTGTATGGGCAAGCAGGATGCAACAGACATGTGAGTTCTCGTCTCACCAATCCTTTGTATGATTTCTGAGCCTTTGTCTTCTCAGTGCATTGAAGAGTTTGGACCAAATGAATGCCTAGATCATCATGTGTGCCAGGTATTACAGACCAAGTTTTGTATCATCCATTGGTTTCGTCAGTCTAAAAATTGTATCCTCAGTTCTTATTCAGTGTCTGCCACCAAATATGTGCGCCATACAGGTTTTGAATTGAATTGAGTTGCATTAATTTCTGTTCTTTCTAAGACACATACACACACATAGTAAAATACTGCCCACTGGTTATGTAATTCACTTCCCTTATTTAGTTCATTTCTTCTCAACAAATACTAAAGCTATGAGAGAGATCAGGTTTGACTTCTTTCAGAGATGGCAAGATCTTAGAGCCTCTGAAGTGGGGTAAGAAGAACTAGGAGGTGTAGGCAGGCTCAGAAAAAGGAGGCTGTGATCACAGATTAATGTTTGCCGTGGAGAAGTAACTGGGAAGTCTGGGCACAAGTTTCATTTATTATCATTCTGCGTTCTCAAGGAGCTTACAGCTCAGCAAAAGGGAAAGAGCTGCAAATAGATAACTTTAGTTTAACCAAAGAAAAGAAAAAGCCAGATTTGTATGACAGAGACCACAGAAATAAAAATGCACTGAGTCCCTTTTGTACTCCTTGCTCACTGCGTTCTTTTCCCTCCTCTCTTGCTAAAGGTTACCACGCTTCTAAAGTTATTGGGCATCATTTCCTCAGTTAGTTTTTATGTCACACATCTATACATATTTATCCATAGGCAACATACAGGATTGTTCTGTTTTGAAATCCTAAACAAAAACTGTAAGCTGGCTTTTCCCCACCAAACTTCGATTTGACATTTATTCATGTTGATATATGTAGTTCTAATGCCCTTATTTTCTCTGCCATGTAGCATTTCATTTAAAACATTCATTTACCTATTCTCTGATAGGTGGATATTTTCAGTTGCCTAATTTTCTTTATTGTGATTAATGTTTTAGTGCCCATTTGAATATATGTCCCCTTATACCATGGGGGTATATTTTTGTGGACATACTTATGGGAAGAATTTCTGGGTAGTAAGTTCTATCATCTTCAAGTTTACTAGATATTGTGATATAGATATAATGAAATTACTTTCTGAAAGGTAACTTTAATTCACACCCCTACTAGCAGTGTATGAGAGTTCCATTTCCTTGTGAATACATTGTAATTTTAGACTTGCAAAAATTGTACCAGTCCAATGAATATAAAATGGTATCTCATTGTTTCAATATCACTTCCCTGATGACTGGGAAGTGTTTTATTGACAATTTAAAACTGATTTCCTGTGGATTGCCTGTATATGCTCCTGGCCCTTGTTCTTTGTATTTTTTATATTTATGTATTTATGTGAGTTCTTTAAACATACTACCTATGTCTTCTCCCAATCTGGGCTTCTTAAAAGATTGTTTTGTGTGTGTAATTTTCCCATTTGTTCAATGGACATTTTAAACTTTAGAGTAGTTGAATTTATAAGCTTTTCCTCTGTGGTTTGTGCTTTTTATGCCTTCCCAACTCTAAGGTCTTTAGAACATTCTTCTATATTTTATTTCAAATGTTGAAATTTTTGTAGTTCATGTTTAGGTCTTTAATCCTAAAAATGCTTGTTGTTCACATTTGGGACTATAATGTGGAAACTATTTGTATTCAAGGTTTGAGGTAGAGAACTAATTTAATTTTATATTTCCCTGAATTGCCAATAGTCTCAGCATCATTTATTAAAGACTTTATTTTTCTCTATTTTTTTTTCATTCCACTTTTGTCATACGCCAAGAACTCATATTTGAATAGGTTTTGGGGGTCCTTATTTGGTTTGGTTCATCTATTTCTGTGCCAATAATGTATAATTTTATTTTTTCAGGTTTGTAATAATTATAGGGCAAGTCTTATCTACTTGTTGGTTCTATGAGAAATTCTTGGGATTTTGAATTAGTAGATTTCCTTTGAGGAAAAACAACCTTTATTTACTCATTCAAATCCCTTGAGGAAAAGCAGCCTGTATTTACTCATTCAGCATCACGTTTACTGAGCGTTAGGATGTTAGTTTGGTCTTATGGCCTCCGTTTATTATTTCTAATGAGAAGTTCATAGTCATTAGTCTGGTTCTCCTGAACACCAGTTTTTTCCTCTGGCTGCTTTGGAAATTTTCTTTTTTCTTTACATGACAGCAGCTTGACTTTAATGTACCTACGTGTAATTTTCTTTGTATTTAATCCTCGCCTGGGATTCACTGAACCTCTTCAACCTGCAAATTTATTTCTTTCACCAAATTTAATGATTTTAAAAAATCATGATTTCTTCAAACCCTTCTTTTTCTACCCCATTTTCTCTCCATCCTTCTGGGATTCAAATTATATGCTTGTTAGATTTTTAAAATGTTATCACATACAATACTGAGGCTCTGTTCATTTTTTTAAAATCTTTTCTCCCCTCTGTCTGTCCTTGAGACTGGATAACTTCTGTTGTTCTGTCTTCAGATTCACTGACCCTTTCTTCTGTCATTGCTATTCTGCTGTTAAGCCCATCCTGTGAAGTTTTTCTTTTCTCTGGTGAGATTTTTCTACTTATTCGTTCACCAAAACCATATTTTGCTTTACATCTTTGAGCATTGTTATAACAGTTGCCTTAAATAATCCTTCTCAGCTGATTTCAACCTGTCAGGATCCTGTCCATGGAGAGCCTCTGCTCTTCACAGTGAGTCACATCTTTCTGTTTCTTCTATGTGTAATAGTTTGAGGCGACAGCGTGACTGACGTGCGGTAGAGACTCTGGATTCCGTTATACTTCTTTCCAGAGCTGGGATTTTTTGCTTAGTTTAGTTTTACACCCATTTAACTCGCCTTGACTCAAACTCCAAACCCCATCTGTACTGTGATGGGCAGCAGCAGAAATACCTGTTAAATCAATTGAGTACTACCAGCTGAGTGGCTTCAGAACGTATCCCACACCTACATAGTTCAAGCGTCAGCCTATGCAATCTGGGGTTCTCTCCCCTTCTCTGGCTCTCTTTTTTCTAGGATTTCTGGCCTCACTTTTCAGCTGCTATGATTGCTGTGAAGTCTGTTCTTTGGTTCTTCAAGCCAGAAATATATGGACCTTCTGTCCCAGTTTTAGTCGTTCAAATTGACATGATCTGGGACCAGCCCTTAGACAAAAACAATGCTGTTTCTTTTTTCCAAATGTAGATTTTCTTCCAGTTTCTGCTAGATTTTGGTTGTTCTTCAAGCAGTATTTTAAAAAATATTTTGTCCAAAATATGTAGTTGTTATCTGTGGGATGGTTAATCTAATAAAAGCAATACCTCTGTTACTTTGTAATGAATTTGTAATTTGTCTATAAAGCTAGACATTGTGATCTGGGATAATTTTTATACAGTTTTTCATTTTGTAGTCACCACAGTTCCATGTGTTTTCTTCCCAGGGATGCTGAATATGGTGACTTAATCCCTTTTAAATAGATAGTTTAGCTCTTTGAAGCTCTGGGTTTTTTGTAAGACTGTCACTTCCAGGCCGCTGCCTCCCATGGTTCTGGGATCTTATCTCCTACAATTTATGTGGGGGAAAAGAACTGTAATCTCACATGCTCACCTAAGATCCATAAGTGGTTGGGCCCTACAGCTTCAGTTCCAGTGTGCCCATCAGACTTTAGTTTCTTCATCCTTAGACACTGTAGGTTTTTCCTTCATAATTGTTTTTCTTGCTGCTGCCACTGCTGTTAACTTTGAATAAATCTTTTCTTAAAACAATTACAATCTACCTAGCAATTCTGTGTTTTCAGTAGAAAGGGGGCATATGTATTATTAGCTTGATCCGTTTACTTGTCAGAAGTTTGCAGCAGTGTTTTCTGTAGTGGACAACATCAGACCATTCCCAGATCCAGTGCTTACTGCTAGTTCCTATGCTTGGTGGGGAAACGATTCAGGTAGGAATAGATGGACTTTGGGCAGAGATCTTACTGATAGCTCTTAGAAAAACTAGGGGCATAGGAGCAACTAACATTATTTTAGCATCTAGTATAGCCCAAGCTCTAAGCCACGCAGTATTACTTCCATTTTACACATTAGGAAATGGAGACACAGAAAGACCTAAATAACTTGTTTCACCCTAAGGAGAGTCATATTGCAAGTTACTTGACTCAAAATCACATATCTACCATGGTACAGTACTGCCTCTACAAACATACTTAGTAATTTTATAGAGGGCAAAAAATGGAAACTGTGCTGTGTCTACTAGCAGTTGTGACAGAACTCCAAAGCTAATCAGCACTGGAGAACGTGTGGAGGAGATTACAATGAGTGTTTGCCAGATCCATGCTTCCCATAGGTGAAATTCATGAGATATCATTGAAAACCCTCTCTGTGCTGCCAAAACTCACATTAAGAGGTTGTTTGCCTGTTGCTTTGAAGAGAAGTGAAAGAAAGGAATGCATGAATAATCTATTTTTGGCCAGAAAGACACAGTATTCATTTAATGTCCAAGGATGTTAATTTTAGTGACCACAGTTTTTTAGCAATATTAATTACCTTTCCTTTATAAAGAAGGATTTTCCCTTTGGGATCTTTATTGATTTACCTCAATCCAGGAGTTGTACAAAGTCTCTGACTTACTCCTAATAAACTTATTAACAGGCTTTGAAGTCAGGAATGAGCCTCCCATGTTTTCTCTTCAAATACAAATCTTTATAATGTGCCTTGTCATTTACAGGGGCAGGAATACATCTTCTTAGATGTTGGCTCAGAATCCTCATGTAAATGCCATTGGCATTTGGGCTAGGTTTTTATCTTCTAGGTGGGGTCTCTTAGAATATGCTGTTTTTTCTGACATTCAGCAATGTTGAGAGAGGAGTTTTGAAAATTCTCATGTATCTATCATAAAGTCCTAAACACAGACCACTTCATAGTCATGTAAAACAGATATTTTAATTTTCAGTTTTTAGGTGAGGAAGCTGAGCACCAACTAAAGTGACTTTGCCCAAGTTAGTCAAGGCAGAATAATAGCAAATCTGGATCAGATGTTTGTGTGACCTTGAGCAAGTCGCTTGCCTGTCTGTGCCTTTAGTTTCCTTGCCTATGAAAAGGGGCTAAGAAGAGCAGCTACTTCATGGTTCTGTTGAAAGGACAGATTGAGTTAATGCATGCAAATCACCTGGATCACTGCCTGGCACATAGTCAACAGTATGCAAGTTTGCTTTTTAAAGATTACTGTTAAGTTGAGCAGACATGGATTTCTGCAGGAGGCAGGATGGTTCAGAAAAAAGAAAAATGAACAAACAAAACGTGGGCTTCGGAATCCTGGTTCTAACGTTATCCTAGCTCGAGTTTTCTGTATAGAGCCTCTGAGGTTGCAAAGTAGGGTTGAATGGGATGGTTAGAATTCTAGAGGAGAGAAAAAAAGAGAGGGGAAGAGAAGAGAGGCAGGGAAGAATGCAAAGCAGTCATTTCCTGGCTGGCCATAGCTTCCCACGAAAAGCAGTCAGTGGTTCCATCACATAGAGCATCTTCCAGATTGACTGTTTTGTACCAGTGTTTTCAGCACAGTCGAGGCCAGAAGGAGAGGGGAGAGGCACGCCCTGGTATCACAGGCTGTGTGATTTGGTTCCCTGTCCTCCTCTTACCCTCCGACACACAACTCCTCAGAAAGCAAGACCGCATGTCCCTGGTGCGGCACTTGAACTGAATCCAAAAACATCTGGATGGGCCAGTGCCTCTGAGGGTCCGGTCGGAGGTCAGTGGAGCCCGAATGCTGTGCTGCATGCCACGGAGGCTGTGCCAAAGCCCTGGCCTTGCCCAGAAGAAGGCTGAGGTGGTTGGTGGCGTTAGAAGGAATGGGAGCAGCCGTGACTGGGATCTTTACGGAGCAGAGGCCAGGAAGGCAGACGGGACCCAGTCCATCTGGAGGCCTACATACTGGAACCAGTTCCACCACTCACAATTGTGCATCCTCAGTAAGCTCCTGTGGCTCCAGTGAGACTGTTGTGAGGATTGGAAGTAATACATGTAATGCACCTTTCAGTACTTAAGAAATGACAGACCGTATTTTCCTAACCATCAACATTTGAAATGGATGTCAATTTCCTGTAGCATTTGTATTTCACTCCGGAAGCAAAGTTTGAATTAAGAGATATGACTGAGATGACCTAGAAGCTGATACCACTACCTAGAGAGAAATATTTAACTCTAGGACATATTAAAGGAAATTACTCAGAAAGCTCATGCCAGAGAACAGATGACGTGGCTGTTTTTAAAAGGCCATCCGAGGAGGTCAAAGGATTTAGGAAAAATCATGAAAAGCAAGAAATGACTTTCATGCCCCAAAAGACGTGAGTTGTATCCTAATTCAGTATTGGATAGTGAAACAGCTGACTGGAAGGTTGTACCTTCTGGAAACCATGATGTCTTGCAGGATTTCTTTGTGACTTCATGGCATAAAGCTGCCTTGCTTTCCTTGGGCTATTAGTAAAAATGGCTGGGAGATATCACCATCAGAATTATCCTAATAACATACTAGTTCAGATTAGCTGAAGGCAGACATTTTAGAAATTTTAAGAACTATGTAACCAGTTTGCTTTATGTCATTGTAGATGTGTTTTTGTTTGTTTGTTTTTAGCTAGGGAAAAAAAAAGAGAAGGTGAGTTCAACTTCTACTCTGTGGGCACAGTAAGTCCAGAGTGTTTAGCACCGGTCTGGACATCGCAGGGAGAAAAGCAGCATCGTGTTAGGCCAAGTGAAGGGTTTGATATAAAACCAGGAGAGAAGGAGAAGTAAGTGGAAGATTGCTGGGCTCTGGGCTCCCTGAGATCAGACTAGACGTGGAGCTCAGTGGAAGTGCTGTGTTTGAAAATCAGACTTCTGACTCTTAGAACCATAGACATGATAGCAGGCTGGACTCAAAGGTGATGGGCGGGAGAGGTGGTTGGGTGATTCCTTGTTTTGGCATCTCCTTTTCCTGGCACGGGGGCAGGTGGAAGGCAGAGGAGTAAGCGCGTGGCTTTTGGGTCAGCTGGAGCTGGGCTGAGAGCTGGCTTACTGACTTTCTGACTCTTCACCTCTGTCAGACTGTCTCACTGTCTGCAAAGTGGAAATGATGATAGTACTCCTCATGAAGTTACTGTGAGGATCATTTGAGATGATGCATGAAAAGCCCTCAGCAAAACCCTGGCACACAGGAAGCTTCACGAGCAGTTTGCTGCATTAGCCATGATTACTTTGGCAGACAATCTGTTTCTTACATGTTATATGCCTCTAGGGGGCTTTTCCACAGGAAGGCTTCTACATCTGAGTCTGTCTGTGGTATGCAAGGGAAATAATCTCAGTGTCATTCACTGAATAACCTGGAGCTGACAGCCTTCTCTATGGACAGCTCAATGATTATGTCACTTAACAAACACGTGTGGAGCAGGTGCTCAGCTGGGTGTCTGTTGTGAACGCTCATGCCTCTAACCCTCCTCCCCAGGAGTGTCGAAGACAGGTGTGTCACTGCATCAGCTCATGATTGCAGCTCAGTGGATGTGCTACTTTACCTAAAGGTCTTGAGGGTAAAAACATGAACCTATGAAAATACATGCAAAATGCTGTGTGTGGGCCCATGCGCATTTTTGGGGTTGTGGGTTCATATATTTCATCAAAGTCACAAAGGGTGTTGGACCTCTAAGGGAGCAGGAGCCACTGTAGTGAGAAAAGTGGAGAAGATAGAGAGTGCTATGAGATGCCAAGGAAGGATTGCATGACTAGCCAGGGAGACCAGGTTGGATGAGGCCAGGGAGACCAGGTTGGATGAGGCCAGGAAGACATGCAAGGAAAAGGAAGGGCATTAGCTGGCTCTGACTGGCTAATGCCTTCCATGATTGTTTTTGCAGAGGAAGGCTTACTGGTTTCTCTCTCTCTTTTTTTTTTTAATAAAAAAGAGATATATTATATATATGTTATATATATATTTATATCTCTATAAAAAGAGATAAATATATATAATAAATATATTTATATATATATTAAAATATATATTTTATTGCACTTTAGGTTCTGGGGTACATGTGCAGAACATGCAGGATTGTTACATAGGTATACACATGGCAATGTGGTTTGCTGCCTCCATCCCCTATCCCTATATCTGGCATTTCTCCCTGTGTTATCCCTCTCCTACCTCCCTACCCCCTACTGTCCCTCCCCCATTCCCCCCAACAGACCCCAGTGTGTGATGCTTCCCTCCCTGTGTCCATGTGTTCTCATTGTTCAACAACCCCATGAGTGAGACCATTCGGTGTCTGACTTTCTGTTCTTGTGTCAGTTTGCTGAGAATGATGGTTTCCAGATTCATCCATGTCCCTACAAAGAACACAAACTCATCATTTTTTATGGCTGCATAGTATTCTGTGGTGTATATGTGTGACATTTTCCTAGTCCAGTCTATCATTGATGGGCATTTGGTTTGGTTCCACCAGGTCTTTGCTATTGTAAACAGTGCTGCAGTGAACATATGTGTGTATGTGTCTTAATAATAGAACAATTTATAATCCTTTGGGTATATACCCAGTAATGGGATTGCTGGGTCAAATGGAATTTCTGTTTCTAGATCCTTGAGGAATCGCCACACTGTCTTCCACAATGGTCGAACTACTTTACACTCCCACCAACAGTGTAAAAGTGTCCCTATTTCTCCACATCCTCTCCAGCTTCTGATGTCTCCAGATTTTTTAATGATCACCATTCTAACTGGTGTGAGAGGGTATCTCAATGTGGTTTTGATTTGCATTTCTCTAATGACCAGTGATGATGAGCACTTTTTCATATATTTGTTGGCCTCATAAATGTCTTCTTTTGAAAAGTGTCTGTTCATATCCTTTGCCCAGTTTTGAATGAGGTTGTTTTTTTTCTTGAAAATCTGTTTTAGTTCTTTGTAGATTCTGGTTATTAGTCCTTTGTTAGATGGGTAGATTGCAAAAAATTTTTCCCATTTGGTTGGTTGCCAGTTCACTTTAATGATTATTTCTTTTTCTGTACAGAAGCTCTGGAGTTTAATTAGGTCCCATTTATCTATTTTGGCTTTTGTTGCCATTGCTTTTGGTGTTTTAGTCATGAAGTCCTTGCCTATACCTATGTCCTGAATGGTTTTGCCTAGGTTTTTTTCTAGTGTTTTGATGGTGTTAGGTCTTAGGTTTAAGTCTTTAATCCATATGGAGTTAATTTTAGTGTAAGGTTTTAGGAAGAGGTCCACTTTCTGCTTTCTGCACATGGCTAGTCAGTTTTCCCAACACCATTTATTAAACAGGGAATCCTTTTCCCCTTGCTTGTTTTTGTCAAAGATCAGATGGTTGTAGATGTGTGGCATTGCCTCCAGGGTCTCTGTTCTGTTCCCTTGGTCTATGTCTCTGTTTTGGTACCAGTACCATGCTGTTTTGATTACTGTAGCCTTGTGGTATAGTTTGATGTCAGGTAGCATGATGCCTCCAGCATTTTTCTTTTTGCTTAGAATTGTCTTGGCTCTGCAGGCTCTCTTTTGGTTCCATATGAAGTTTAAGGTGATTTTTTTCCAGTTCTGTGAAGAGGGTCATAGGTAACTTGATGTGGATAGCGTTGAATCTATAAATTACTTTGGGTAGTATGGCCATTTTCACAATATTGATTCTTCCTAGCCATGAGCATGGAATATTTTTCCATCTCTCTGTGTTCTCTCTTATTTCTAGTTCTCCTGAAGAGGTCCTTTACGTTTCTTGTTAGTTGTATTCCTAGGTATTTTATTGTTTTTGTAGCAATTGTGAATGGCAGTTCATTCTTGATTTGGTTCTCTTTAAGTTTGTTATTGCTGTATAGGAATGCTTGTGATTTCTGCACGTTGATTTTGTATCCTGAGACTTTGCTGAAGTTGCTTATCCGTTTCAGGAGATTTTGGGCTGAGATGATGGGGTCTTCTAAATGTACAATCATGTCATCTACAAATAGAGACAATTTGACTTTCTCCTGTCCTATTTGAATACCCTTTATTTCTTCTTCTTGCCTGATTGCTCTGGCTAGAACTTCCATCACTATATTGAATAGAAGTGGTGAGAGAGGGCATCCTTGTCTAGTGCCAGATTTCAGAGGGAATGCTTCCAGGTTTTGCCCATTCAGTATGATGTTGGCTGTGGGTTTGTCATAAATAGCTTTTATTATTTTGAGATACGTTCCATCGATGCCTAGTTTATTGAGGGTTTTTAGCATAAAGGGCTGTTGAATTTTGTTGAAGGCCTTCTCTGCATCCGTTAAGATAATCATGTGGTTTTTGTCTTTGGTTCTGTTTGTGTGGTGGATTATGTTTATAGACTTGCATATATGTTGAACCAGCCTTGCATCCCCTGGATGAAGCCTACTTGATCGTGATGGATAAGCTTTTTGATGTGCTGTTGTGGTAGG